GGAGTGGGAGGGAGCCAGCCAGCACACTACTGGGTGTCATTGGAGCGTTCCTGTTTCCCAGTGACCGCAGAGGCAGCCTGGGAGTCAGACGTGGATCAGGCAGGGAGAGGAAAGGGGTAGCCAGTCGAGACCCGAGGTAAGTGCGTCTTCCTCTGCTCCTGCACAAAGGTCCCTGGGGAAGCAGAACACCTTGGGGCCGAGAGCTGCCCAGCGGTGATGCTCTCCGACAGGAGGCTTGCAGCCCTGGCTTCATTTGCCTGTGTGCATGCCATGGGGGATGAGTCCGATTTCTCCTTCGTTCCCTGGAGGGTGCTGGTCCAGTCGCACGGGAGGATTGCTGGGCCTGGCCTGGAGCCAGCTGTGGGCGCGGATGGAGGGCTGGAGTAGCCCAGAAGGGCAGGAATAGACGGGACGAGCTAGGGAAGGGGGACCGTCTGCCCTGGGACTGTTACCACTGTAGGCAGAGAAAGAAGGAGACCCAGGTTCTAGTCCTGCCTCTGCTGCTTCCGTGCTGCATGACCTTGAGGGTGGCCCTGCGCTCTTTGAGCCTCAGCGTCCCGGCTGCACTGCCTTCCAGACTGGAGGCTGTGAGGCTCAGGCCACGCTGAGATTGTCCTCAGCATCTTGGCTTTAGACCTGGGGCTGTCAGTTGCCTGTAACCCTCCATTGTGGGCAGGTAGGCACCTGCGTGGACGGGCCGTGACCGGGACCTGGGAGGGTGGTGATGATGATGATAATAACAATGGCGGCCCAGGCCCCGGGAAGGTCTGCTCTGTGCCACCCTGCGCTCGCCACTTTTCTTGTGGGGTGAAGAGGATTTGCACACCTCCCTGTGATGAAGGGAGAGTTATCATCATTTGGGAGGAGAAATTATGGCCGAAAGAGGAGCACAGACTTGCCTAAGGCAGAAGCAAAGGAACAGCAGAGCAGGCATTCAAACCCAGGACCCTGGCGCCAAAGTGCTGGCACCATGTGACTTTCACATATGTGACTGACACAGGTGGCTCTCACACATATGTTGTCATCCCTGGCCACATTCTGCCCTGAGGGCCATGAGGGTTCATTTATCAAACATTCTCCAGGTGCCAGGCTCAGAGAGCTCGGGCTGAATCACTGTCAGGCTTACCTGCAGCTGGGCCCTGGTCCACAGTGATAGTAATAATTAATATGTATTGATCTTTGCCTGTGTTCATGCATTCTCTCATTGCAATCCCATAGCCTCGTAACTATTTCCCCAGCAGTGAGGCTCCTGGCTGCCAGCCAGCCCACGTCTGGGCCTCAGTCTACCCAGGGCTCTGCCGCTGGTCACTAAGGGCACGGTCTGCCCTGATCTTGCTGCTGCGTGTCCATTGTACACAGAAGACTGAGGTTGGAGAGGGTGAGCCATGTGCCCGAGTTCACAGAGGCCAGGCAGGAAGGGAACCTTGGGTGTCTCATGCTGCTGAGACAGGAGGGACCAGCCACCAGGGCCCTCTCTGCTTCCCTACCCTTCATCCTGGCTGCCCTGGCCCAGCCCACAGAGGCCGGACCCTGCTGCGCTGCTAGGACAGAGGTCCACAGCCACACCTCAGGCTTCCGTGAAGGAATTTCAGGCTGCACGCACCCTTCTTCCCGAGGGGCCTGGGGCTGGGCCTGGGACACATCAGGCAGGGGCTGCCATGCACAAAGCTGGAAGCAACACGTTGGAGGCTGGCAGACCTGGGTTTGAATTCCAGCCCTGAACCCTGCCTTGCCGAGTGACCCCTGGCAAGTCACACCCCCTCCCGGAGCCTCAGTTTCCTCATCTGCAAAATGGGGGTGACAGTGGGGTCTGCCTCCTAGGACAACTGAGCAGAGTCCGTGAAATGCTGTGGAGAAGCCCCTGCCCAGTGCCTGGCTCATACTAGGGGCTCAAAAGTGACACCAGAAGGTGCGGCGACGGACCAGGGCTCAGCACCCGGCAGGCCCAGCACGGTTTGAGGAAGCCCAAGTGGGAGAATGGATCAATGACTGAGTGAAGCAGTGGTGGGGCTTGGGGAACATCCTGGGCGGGGCCAGACAGAGCCTGATTGGTGGCTCTGGGAGGCTGGTCTGCCCCCTACTGCCTGGCTTTCACCCCAGAGCTGCCTTCAGCTTCCAAGAGTTCCAGAAAGTACCCTGGTGAGTGGGGCTTCTCAGGTTGTGGAAGGGGGGCTGGGGGGGCTTTTCTGAGGGCAGGAACCTTAACCCCTCCCCATTTTAAAGTCAGAGAAGCTGAGACCCAATGTCCCACTCAGGGTTTGGGCTTGAGTCTGAGGCTGTGGCCTGACCCAGGGCTCTGCCCTGTGTTCCCCGGGACCCCCAGAGAACAGAAGGCCCCTGGAGGCACTTGAGGCATGGTGCAGGTTTGTCCTTGGGGGTGGGGGAGGGTTTGGGGGCACAGCCTGGGGGTGACAAAGACAGGCCCAGACAGAGTAGGTCCCTGGGCACTGAGGAGGGGAGCAGCTAACACTTCATGGTAGTTACTATGTATTAGTCACTTTGCCTGTCCCATCTTAGGAAGAGCCAGTGAGGGGGGCTACCAGCTCCACATTTTACAGATGAAAACTGAGGCTCCAAAGGCTTCCTGTGACTGAAGCACAGGACAGGGGTTTCCAGTGCCAGAGGCCGGCGCCTCTCCTTTCTGGGCCCCTGCATGACCAGACTCTCCCAGTTGGCTTACCCCCCCTCCCAAGCTTCCTGATCTATTATTTAAATATATTAAATATATTTTATTGCTTTTCTGATTTAAAAAAGGTCATATATGCTCCTTTAAAAAAGGCAACCATGGCAGAAATGCAAAATATAGAAAAATATTTCTGCATATACTTTTCCCCCAGCTTTGAGGAGGGTACCGCTGTTAAAATTTAACCAGTCCATGGCCAAGGGGCTGGTGCTGGGAGCACTCTTCACCAGCTTCCTGCTGCTGCTGTACTCCTGTGCCGTACCCCCGCTGCACGCTGGCCTGCCCTCCACGTCAGGGGTCCTCCTGGGCGACCAAGAGATGGGGGTGGGGGCGAGGGACACCTCGCACCAAATAAATAAAAAAAAGATTTTATTTATTTAAGATTTTATTTATTTTAGAAAGATTTTATTTATTTATTCATTCATTCATTTATTTATTTATTTATAGAGAGGGGAAGGGAGGGAGAAAGAGAGGAGAGAAACATCAGTGTGTGGCTGTCTCTCATGTGCCCCCTACTGGGGACCTGGCCCACAACCCAGGCATGTGGCCTGACTGGGAATCGAACTAGTGACCCTTTGGTTTGCAGGCCGGCTCTCAGTCCACTGAGCCACACCACTGTGAGCCAGGGCCACTGTTAAAATTTAAAATACTGCCCTCCAGTTGTTTCTTTCTGAGCTACCTGTATGTTTACTCACATCCATGAGCAGGTTTGTGGGCCATAGTGTTCTGGAAATCGCAGTGTGTTTTTGAGCCAGTTCACTTATCTCTGTCTTGTTTTTTTAAAAGGGTACAAATGACTCCATTTGGAAATGGGTCATCGTTTGTGTAATGGTCCCTGCTGATGGAAGCTAAGGTTATTTCCAATTTTTTTGTTTTTCTGACCAAGCTGCCATGAGCACCCTTGCATGTGTGACTTTGCCCAAGTGGTTCCGTAAAATCATTGGAATTCAGAGAGCTGGTAGTGTCCTTCTCTGATAGGACAGCCTCCAGGAACTCTCCCACACTCTTGTCAATCCCCGACCTTGTCTGCCTTGCCCACCTGAGTGAACAGGGATATGTCCTCGTCATGAGGGAGGCCAAATTCCCTCCTGTATAGTTTCTCCCTCTGCAGATTGCTTCTTTATGTGCTTTCCTGTGTGGAGAAAGTTCTAGATGATGAGCAGAGGGCTCAGGGACTCTTGTGGCTGGCGGGGTGGGCTTGAGTGCCCCTTTTCTGGGAAGGGTTTGCAGGTCTCTTAAGTAACTTTTCCAGGAGGAAGTATGTGGGGTTCTCTTCCAGGCAGGTTATTTGGCCTCTGCCCCCAGGGACAGTGGTGACGTGCCAATGCGTGTAGTTATGGGGCAGCACCCATGACCTCTCATGGCCTCAGGGGCCCAGAGCCCCATGCCACATGTGCCAGAATAGGAGTGGAAAGTTTTGTGCCTTAGCCTTGCAGCTAAGGGGAGGTGGGAAGGCCCCGAGTCCCCCCTCTCTCCTGGACAGCTCATGCCTCAGGCCCCTGCAAATAGATTGCCTCCCCACCCCAAAACCAAAACAAAACAAAAAACCAGGACACCCAGTTAAATTACATTTGCAATATTTGAATAATATTTAGTGCAACATTTGGGACATACTTATACTACAATCAGTTTTGTTGTTTATCTGAAACTCGAATTTACCTGGGCAACACTACCTGCTGGCAATTGGAGAGGAGGTGGGGGTATGGACAGGGGCCTCCTGGCTGTTTGACCTGAGCTTTCTCCTTCCTTCCTCTGAACCTGAGTTTCTTCACCTGCCTCTCCTACAGACCCGGGGACCAGCAAAGAGATGCGGAGCCTCCGCTTGTCCCTGGGCAGCTGGGAAGGGTGGCGCAGGGGGCAGGTGGGAATGGCTGGGCTTTTGAAAGGTGCGGGATTCATGACCTCTCACTCTCCCTGCAGACAGCCCTGGCCCCAGGGACAGGGTCTTCTTTTCCTTCTTAGTAAATGACTTCAGTGAAGCCAAAAAAGATGTAAAAAGTAAACTAATGAACATCCAAGTACCCACTCCTCACTCAGCTTAAAAATTAAAACCGAACCAGGCAGTAGGATCTTCTCCCTGCCCCACTCTCCAGCTGCTTTCGCGTCGGCTTTACCAACTATCTCTGCTACCATGTCACTGTGTCTCTCCCTGTGTTTATCTCTCTGCCTGTACTTTGCTGGGGGGCCACAGAACTGGCAAAGGCAGGGCCCGATATCAAAGGCTGCCCCTCAACCCTGCCAGGCCCGAGGCAGTGGTGGGTGCTCCATGGGGCCAGCCTTCTGACACCTGCTCTGCTCTGTGCCCCTGCAGGTGTCTGAGATGCCGCTGCCTCAGAAGAAGCGCTGGGAGTCCATGGCCAAGGGGCTGGTGCTGGGAGCACTCTTCACCAGCTTCCTGCTGCTGCTGTACTCGTATGCAGTACCCCCACTGCACGCTGGCCTGCCCTCCACGTGAGTGGTCCTCCTGGGCGACCAAGAGATGGGGGTGGGGGCGAGGGACACCTCGTACCATCCTATGGTGGGCAGAAATTCCACTGAGGATTGCTCACTGTGTAACCTTGGGTCTCACTGTCCTCATCTGTGAAGTGGGTATAATAACAGAGCCTGCCTTATGTAGCGTGAGAATCAGATAACACTGTCTGTGTACGGGGCTTTGATTATCATCATCTGAGGCTCCGACAGGGCTGGGAGGCGGGGGTGGCTTGTCCAAGAGCCCTCAGCTGGCAGGGGCCTCGATTCAAACTGGGCCTGTTTGCCTCCAGCCTGGCTTCTAACCGTGAGGCCACCCTGCCTCCCCTTGGGGCCGCACAGCCCAGGCCTGGCACAATCCGTGCCCTTAGTTGAGTGGTATTAAGCTGAACTAGAGGAAATTACTGATAACTGATCATTTTTGGTCAAAAATTGACCATTTTTGGCCTACCAAATTTCATGTTCAACCAGTGACAGTTCATGATAAATGTATGAGGACACAGTGGCCACAAATGAGACAAAAACCAGCGTGCTCGTCTCACTTTGACCTCATACCAACACCATGAGTAGAGACTGTTAGCATTTCACAGATGAGGAACGTCAGGCCAGAGGGGCCAAACCACCAGCCCAGGTATTTTAGCCTGGATAAAGGTCTGTCTGGGCCCCATCCTGACTCCCTCCCCACCACTATCCCTAACAAACCTGCTGTCTAGAGGTCAGAGCCCGAGGTTCTGACCCCTAGGGGGTCCCAGCAGCCCCTGAGGCTCTCCCCACTGCTCTGTGCCCACAGGACCCCGGAAGGGGTAGCATCCTGTTCCCCAGCCCCGGGTGAGCCAGAGACGGTGACCACTGCTAACGGCTCGTCTGGAGGATGCCAGCCACGGCGTGACATCGTTTTCATGAAGACACACAAGACTGCCAGTAGCACGCTGCTCAACATCCTCTTCCGCTTTGGCCAGAAGCACGGGCTCAAGTTCGCCTTCCCCAATGGCCGCAACGACTTCGACTACCCAGCCTTCTTCGCCCGCAGCCTGGTGCAGGACTACCGGCCGGGGGCCTGCTTCAACATCATCTGCAACCACATGCGCTTCCACTACGAGGAGGTCCGGGGCCTAGTGCCACCCAACGCCACCTTCATCACTGTGCTCCGTGACCCCGCCCGCCTCTTCGAGTCCTCATTCCACTACTTTGGCTCAGTGGTGCCCTTCACCTGGAAGCTTTCGAGCCAAGACAAGCTGGCCGAGTTCCTGCAGGACCCTGACCGCTACTATGACCCCAACGGCTACAACGCCCACTACCTCCGCAACCTGCTCTTCTTCGACTTGGGCTATGACAGCAGCCTGGACCCCAGCAGCCCGCAAGTGCAGGAACACATCCTGGAGGTGGAGCGCCGCTTCCACCTGGTGCTCCTGCAGGAGTACTTTGACGAGTCACTGGTGCTACTCAAGGACCTGCTGTGCTGGGAGCTGGAGGATGTGCTCTACTTCAAGCTCAATGCCCGCCGCGCCTCGGCTGTGCCCCGCCTGTCAGGTGAGCTGTACCGGCGTGCCACGGCCTGGAATGTGCTGGATGCCCGCCTTTACCGCCACTTCAATGCCAGCTTCTGGCGAAAGGTGGAAGCGTTTGGGCGGGAGCGCATGGCCCGCGAGGTGGCTGCCCTGCGACGTGCCAACGAGCGCATGCGGCGCATCTGCATCGATGGGGGTCACGCTGTGGATGCTGCCGCCATCCAGGACTCAGCCATGCAGCCCTGGCAGCCGCTGGGTGCCAAGTCCATCCTGGGCTACAACCTCAAGAAGAGCATTGGGCAGCGGCATGCACAGCTCTGTCGTCGCATGCTCACGCCCGAGATCCAATACCTGATGGACCTCGGCGTCAACCTCTGGGTCACCAAGCTCTGGAAGCTCATTCGAGACTTTCTGCAGTGGTAACATCCTGCCCGCCCAGTAGCCCGCCCCACCTGCTCACTTGATGAGGACGGGCTGGGCAGGAACCTGCTGGTCTTCCCCGATCCCATCCTGGTGCCACCTCGGTCCCCGAGGTAAGGTGGGGCTGCCGTGGGGATGCAGCTGACCAGGACTGGGCCCAACGCATACAGAGAGGGCCTGAGATCAGCATTTGATTAGTTATACTGTTTTTAAAATTAAATCCCCTTTCCTGTTCTACTTCCTGCCTCCCCTTAAAGGGGAGACTTCAGAAGTAAAGGCATTTGATGCTGTTTTTGTTAATCAGCCTCAGTTGTGGTGACTGGAGGGGCCCAGGTCGGGTGTGACTTGTGGGGACAGGGGACCCCAAGAGAGCATGGTGGGTGCCTGTGTGAATCTGTGGGACAGAGCTCCATGATATGGCAAGGACTTGGTGTGCACCAAAATTTGTTGTGCTACATGCTGAAGCCCTGCGTGCTTGGAGGGCTCTCAGAAACTACCAGGACCCGGAAGATCTCATGTGTGTGCGCGTGCGTGCGTGTGATTACCCAAGGGACTATACCAGTTGCTTACTCCCACTGAATACTGGTTATGTACCCGGCACTGGGCTAAGTACTTTGTAGGCATTATCTCGGTTCATCTTCATTGAAACTTAGCAACATGGGAACTGTTATTATTTCATACTAGAGGTGAGGAAGGCAGCTCAGAGAGGGAAAGTCACTTGGCCAAATCCACACAGCAAGTGACAGGACTGGAGCAGGAACTGGATCAGGCAGAGTGTGTGGCTACATGGGGATAGAATCCAAGTGTGTGTGTGTGTGTGTGTGTGTGTGTGTGTGAGAGAGAGAGAGAGAGAGAGAGACAGACAGACAGACAGACAGAGAGTTGGGGAGCACTCGGTGTGACACTGGACAGCAGGCCCTGGGCCTAGGCTATAGGTTTCTTGTACAATCTCATTCTCACTATAACCCTTTGAGGCAGGCATAGTCACTCTCCCATTTTGCAGATGTCGGAACTGACATTCTGAGAGGGGAAGGGACTTGCCCAAGGTCACATATCAAACCCAGAACTAACCCATCTCCCTGGGACCCGAAACCCCTTCCATCTCCAGAGCCTGTTTACCCTGTATCCACCTGTCCCTTATTCCCCACTGACCACTCCAGGCTGTCTCACCCTCTGCTTGTGCTCATATGGCCTTAAGTTTCCCCCTTCCACCATAGACTCAGTTTATTAACCCAAAAACTCCTTGGTAGTCATCATCTATCTGCTGTGCCCCCTAGTCCGGAGCTGGCCCAGCCATACAGCAGTCAGCAAGTTGGTCTGCGCTCCCGCCCAGAGAGGTGGCCAAGCAACCAAGGCACATCGGGTATGATCCGCCAGGGTGGGGATACATCTACTCTAACCACCTGCCCTCCTCAGTCTCCCCAGGGGGCAGGACCCTTTCTGGGACTCGGGTCTCTAACCAGGGGCCAGCAACCAGATGTGAAAGGCAGAAACCAGTGTGACTCTGCTAGAGACCTGTTTGTTCCAGGCTCCAAGACACCTTATTAGAATATTTACAACATTCCAGTTTTATAGACCAAGGCTCAGAGAGGTTCAGTGACCTACCTAAGGTCACACAGCTGATTAGTGCCAAAGCCAGAATGCAAAGCCAGATCAATCAACTCTTAGTTCCTCCCTGGGCTTGAGTCAATCTTTCCCCTGGGAGTGAGCTTCTGGTCCAAGTAAGGTGGGAAAGGGTTAGGGTGACCAAGTGCCTGTTTCCTGGGACCGTCCCAGTTTTAGCCTGACATCCTAGGAAACTACTCAGTCCCGGGCAACCAGGACAGCGGGCTGGCCTGGGAGCGGTTTGGTCCCACCCATCTGGAGCCATTTCATAGCCTGTACCCTCCTTAATGTCCTTTGCAGCAAGAAGTCTTTGAAGCCTTCATTTAATTCATATGAAAGGAACTAAGCAAAAATGGATAAATAAATAAAAATAGCTTAAGACTAGTCTCAGGAAAAGATGTTCGTGACCTCGAATTCATGATATAATTCTCTTTCCCTTTTATTAATTAAAGATAGATATGACTTAGTGCAATACACTAACATCCTGGGTGGGTTTGTGGGAGCCCCCAAATTATATTTCCTTGGACAAATAAGGGTCTAGAAATGCCAATAATAATATTGTTATATGTTAGTTTTTAAAATAAATTTATTTAAACTAAAAAAACCATGCACCTATTTCCTCCCATCCCCCACTCACACCCACCTCTGGCAACAACCAATCCGTTCTCTATGAGTTTTTTAAATATATATAAGTAATTACATTATTATTAATACTGTCACTTCTAGGCCCTTAGGGATCCAAATCTGGCAGGTAGTAGATGCTAAGAATATGTTACTTCATTAGCATTTACCATAGTTATTAACCCATTTATTAATATAAATAATATTGTTATAGTAAGTAGTTGCCAGGTACTGTGCAATCACTCTGTGCCCAGCTCTGTGCCTTGTGGGAACACGCACAATCCCCTGTGTTCGCTCGGGAGGCGACTGAAACACGGGCTGGGCAATCAGACCGGAGTCACCCAGCCAGGCAGCCATAGAGGCAGGATGCAAAACCAGGTCAATCAGACGCCAAGGCTGGTCCTCGCGGCCTCCAGATCTTCCGCGCCGTTCCAGTTGGCCACCTCAGCCTCGGGACTGCGGCTCTTCATGGCAGGAAAAGTCTGAGGTCTCCAGGCCAGCACGGCGGACTCGCTGCTGTCGCCCAAGCAGGGGTCCTGCTACTCCACTTGGACGCTAACCCGCAAAGCCCGGCCCCGGCTCATCCCCAGCCTCCGGCCCCGCCCCGGGCTCAGGACCCCGCGCAGGTGCGGCCCAAGGAGGCTGCGCCGGTGCCTGCTGCCTCGCGGCCGGCGCGGGTTGGCGGGAGGGGGGCGGGGGCGCTGCTGGACCGGTGTCCCCAGCCTGGCCTGGCCCCCAGCCCGACCCAGATGAGGACCACGGCCCGATGCCTCCCTGTCTCGCCAGTGCATGGAGGACCCGGCCTGCCTCTTGCTGCTGTTGCTGCTGCTAGAGCAGGGTTTTTACTTTTTAGGGGGATATGTCACGTGACTTGCTTTTATGGCCAAGTGCAGGGGTTTGGTTTTACCGTTGGCCAAGGTCAGCCTTCCCCAAATGTCTTGTCTACCTGCACCCGCTCTCACCTCACTATCAGTGCAGTACATTACAGGATCCTGAAAAAAGCAAGGTGATGAGAAGGGAAGGCTGAACTTTGCTCAGCTCCTATCTTAACTGGGGTGACAGATGTTGGTTGATAAAGAACTTTTCCCCTCTGTGTTCCACTGTGATGCTAGGGAATCTGAAAACCTTCACGGTAAACTTCGTAACCAGCCATCCAGGTTTATCTTACATTTTTGTACAAGAATCCCACTCTCTAACTTAACTGAGCATTTGGCCTTTGGGTCTGTTGGCAAAAGAGGGGGAGGGGGAAATATGGCCTTCGTTTAAACCAGAGTGCCCTTACAGCCCTGGAAGAGTTAGTCAGCAACTCTTGTGACGTCGTCATTCTGCCCTGTCATTCTGGTTTGTGGATCTCAGGATGCTGGAAAGGCAACGTTTAATAGACACCCGATTAACCAGCTGTTAGTTTTCCTGTGTCGACTATTTGGAATGTGATCTGGGAGAGACAGAATTTACTCCTCCAGGTTGTGTTTCTTTACTTAATATTACAGAACAAATTCTAGGACTACCTTTTCACCCACCAGAGGACACCACAAAAAATGGCAAATTTGGGGAAACCTGTTTGTAAAAACGACTATGAGGATTACATTAAGATGACAATGTGTTCAGCTCCTGCAAGACAGAGTGTCCCTTTTTATCTGCAACACAATGGGCTGGGTGACAGATGGACTTCGGCTTCTCATTCGTCTGATCCAATTGCTGTCTCCCAGCCACACCGTTCAGTTCAGTTCTGGCTGAAGTAACTAGATGCCAAACCTCTCCTCTGACTATGTAGACAACATCAATGGCCTGTACACAAAAAGCTAATCCAAAATCAGAAACAAAGGATTCTACCTGGCAGAATTTGCAGAGAATTTGGAATTTACTGACCAAAAAAAGAGAGTCTGGTTGTATTTACTGGACGTAAATGGATGTGCTTCCAGTTGGGCTTTGTGTTTAGAAAACACTCCAAGCAACAGAGACTCGTGTAACTGAGGCTTTGTGACTTGGTGGTGTTAGGTAACCTTGGCCAGCTGCACCCCCAAAATCGCTTTATCCCTTACGTGGTCTGACATTCTATCAGGTTCCTTCCATTGCAATTGCCCTCTAGATTATTCACGCCGATGTCACTCGTACCTGTACACTGTATGCTGAAAATGCCAGCTGCGTTGGTCTTTGAAAGATCCTGGATGACGTCAGAGGATGTGCAAATGGCCTGTCCTGCTTGCCCAGACTCCAATCTGTGTTTATTTGGGGTTTGGAATTTGTAGAGGGATTGACGTGAAGAAGAGGCTTTACCACAGGCTCCCTCCTGTGCCCCTGGAAGAGCTAAGAAACATGAATTGTTTGCTGGTCAGAGCCATTTCCACCCCACAGCGTGTCTTCAACAGCCAGCGTGGGCTCAAAGGGATTATACCTACATCATGACAAACTGTTATCTCAAACTTCCTGGAGCATCCCGAGAAAATTGGAGCAAGAGAAACGGAGGAAACGTGTGGAGAGAAACTACACCCAAAAGTTAAACTCTATCAAAAAACAAACTCATGTTTTTAATAAGGGAAGGAGCTTGAAGACTGGTGTGGTTTTGTGGCTGCGAAGAGCAGTGTCCTCAGGTAGCAAACGGTTTCCTATGTAACTTGTGGATATGTTTTCATTAAACTTAAGTCCCTTCTTTAAGCTACGTGACCTAGTTTTACCCTAGTCTGCTGTATGCTTAATCATTCGTGGTGTTTTAGTTTCTTAAGCAGCAGGGAAAATGTCATATGTCACTGAAACAAAGAATATGGTTGATTCCTAAAAAAAAAAAAAAAAAAAAGTCCTTCCAGGACCTGGTTGTTGGAATCTGGATAACAATAGAGAGACTGGAGCCACAAAAATGTACCGAGGAGGAAGGAAGGCTGGCCAGCAGATTGCAAACATAACAGGGTGTTGGAATTGCACCTCGGTCCTCCTCCAGTGATGGCCGTGGGGGCAGGGGCCCCGCCGGTGGGGTCTGCCTGCCTCTGGTCACAGCCCCCATGGTTGTTCCCATCCCCTGACCATGTGATGCTAAACTCCCTTCTACTGCCAAGGGTTAAAAGATCACGTTTGGTCTTTAAATTGAATCAAGTTTAGCAGGTGAAAGTTGGGACTCAAGGAACTTTCTTCTTCTTCTTCTTCTTTTTTAATCCAATGGTTTTATGCTGAAAGAAATTGCTCTCAAATCCAGGAAACCTCTCCTGGGGCCTCTTTCAAACTAGACTTGTCCTAATTGACTCCTCATCTGAGAATGAAGACACCAATGGGCAGAGCTGGACACCGTCTGTCTGGGCAAGGCCTGGCAGGGCAGCTCTTCTGGAAAAGGCCCGTTTTTGCCTTTGGGTGGCTGGACCCGAACTTGTCCATACGGACAACTCTGTACCAGTTAGCACTTTCTCCCAGGTGTACAGGAGGCTGGTGATGATGCCATTCTCCCAGATGGCCTTGGGGAAAAAATGATGGAAATCTATTCTTCCTCTTCTCCATGGTGGTCATAATTCCTTATCTTCCAAGGTTGGAAGTGGTTTTGGTAAACAAGGATGATCAGTCTGGGTCCTACATACCATTTCTGTGTTGAAGATGGTGAGATACTTAACTGAGGCAGAATTTCAAACAGTACTGGAATTCCAACTTCTTAATAGGTTACATTGAAGGAGGTTATTAGTATGTGCAAGTTTTAACATCTGTATTCACTTAAATCATTGATTAGCATGGTCTTTAAATACTCAATATCTCATACACTCACAGATTACAAATTCGCACAAGAACCCTTGTCACCCTCTAGGGTGAGTTTTGATACCCTAGAGACCAATTAAGGTCTAACTTCTTCATTACCTCTTACTTATATCTAAATTTAGTTCCTATAAGTCTTTGTATCTTCGCCTTGTAAAGAATTTTAAGACAATCTTGCCACCATCAACTTTTTGCTTCCTTCCCCACGCAGTTCCTTGTATCTTTATAATAATATTCACTGTAGATCATTAGCAGCAATTCTCAGAACTGCCTTGTCATTTGCCTTTTCATTAAATCCAGGCCTGCCTTTAGTTTGATTTCCTGTGGGTGTTTAAGGATGCTGTCTCCAGTCCCCATGGGTAAAGAAAACAAATGTTGCCATTAGAGGGAGATGTCAGCCATTGGTCAGAGGGCCAGATGGGCTAGAGTTGGCTGAGGAGCCCGTATAGCCCTTTCTCAGGGAATTCGGGGGCCATGGAGATGTGGCTCTGTGGTCAGCTCCCGGGTGTGCTGGTCAGACCAGCAACAGTGCTGTTGACCTTGGATGTCCATTTGATTGTCAATGTCGATGGTTTGGGCTTGTTATTTCTACAGGCTGTTGTGGTTCATGATGAGTGGGAATGAGTCTGCATTGGAGTTATTATCCTTAATCATTTATGTGTGATTTCCAAAGTAGTATATACTTATTTTAAGAAAATTAAAGAAATATGTAATTTAGAATATGAAAACCCTTAGTTGCTGATTTTGTGATTCTTTAAAGTCAGTTTTTAAAAAAGAGATCCATTTATAGGAAACATAGATATGAAAATATATTACAAGATTCTCAAAAAGAAAAAGAAAAAGAAAAAAAGTATGAGGTCTCCAAGGGTCTCTGCTGCTGTAGCTTGCAGGAGCCAAGCTGCTCTTGCTGTACCGGGCAGCAGGGGGTGCCATGGTGCCAAATTTGATCTTGATCAGACCTGACATTTCTGTCCAGCTGGGGTCACTCACGGTGACCAGTCATCTGTAGGCCTGACAGGGCTGCCCCTGGGAGAAATTCAGTGGGGCCACCTCACCTGTTCCTCTCTGTTATGGGTTGAACTGTATCCCCTAAAAAGATATGTTCAAGTGCTAACCTCCCCAGTTGCCTGTAAGTGACCTTATTTGGAAATACAGGTTTTGTACGCGTAATCAGGATAAGGTCAGGAGGGTGAGCCACAATCCAGTATGGCTGGTGTTTTGATAAGCAGTGGAAATGCTATGTGAAGACAGACACACAGGGACAACACCAAGTAAGGAAGGGCAGAGACTGGTATGATGCAGCTGCCGAGGGCCACCTCCAGAAGTTGGAAGAAGTAAGGAAGGGCTCCACTTAAACTTTCAGTGGGAACAGGGCGCACCTTGATTTCAGACTTCTAGCCTCCAGAACTGTGAGAGAATAAATTTCTGTTGTTTTAAGCCCTTTAACGCTAACCCTAAGCAGCCCCTGGACACTAACACACTCTCCTTGCCCTCTCCTTGCCCTAGGTCAGGCCTCTGCCCCTGACCTGGACCCCCACCTCGCTTCCCTTCCCAAGCGCACCCCTACAAGCCACCCTCCCCCTGCAGCCAGAGACCATCCTCTGCTCGGAGCCCTCCATGGTCCCCTCACCCTTGGTGGGGAGTCCTGCCGCTGGACGCGTCTGTGGCTTCGCACATGCTGTTCCCTCTGTCATAAGGCCCCCTTCCCTTTGCAGGCCTAACACTGCTATGTGTTTTCAAAGCAAGCTCTGCTGTCTCCTGGGCAATCTTCCCTGATATCCCAGCCCCCAGGCTAATTGGGGGCCCCCGGGCTCTCCCATCGCCATTTGCTCAGCCAGGGCCAGGACTGTGGACTTGCTTGTTCACAGGGTCCCAGCAGTGGGCTTCTCAGGGACTGGGTCTCATTGACATAATCAGCCTACAGTGCCCAGACCAGTGCCTGGCACACATTCAGCTCTTAATAAATGTTGAAAGACAGGTGATAGGAAGGAAGGAAGGAAGGAAGGAAGGAAGGAAGGAAGGAAGGAAGGAAGGAAGGAAGGAGAGAAGGAAGCCTCCCAAAGGCACTGAGTCCGGGGATTGGACGAAACTTTCAGTGTATGAGATGACACTCCAACCAACAGAGCCACCCAGCCAGGACTATTCATTAATAATTTAAAAAACTTTTGCCATCTTTAAAATGGAAAATGATATTTATTATTGTTTTAATGATTTCTCACCGGTGAGATTAGAATTTTTTAAATATTTTATTTATTTATTTTTAGAGAGAGGGGAAAGGAGGGAGAAACAATGTGTGGTTGCCTCTTGTGCACCTTCTACTGGGGACTTGGCTTGCAACCCAGGCATGTGCCCTGACTGGGAATCAAACCAGCAACCCTTTGGTTCACAGGCCAGCACTCAATCCACTGTGCCACACCAGCCAAGGCTATGATTTTTTTAATGCTTTAATTTTTTATTTGTATTGCCTCCTGGTATCTCTCATTCATTTTCTAGAAAAGTACTTTTATTATTGATTTATAAGTACTCTTTACATATTAAGCACATTGGCCTTTCCTGTCATATCTGTGGCAAACACTTTCCTAAGTTTTTAGTTTGCTTGTTAGTTTTAATTTTTGACTCCATTGATTTCTCTGTTACTTTTATGCTTAAGCAGTCCATACCTATCCTAGGGTATGTGGGCATTCACCTCGCTTTCTTCCACTTTGTTCTCCCAATGCCCTTATTCCTTTGCCAGTGGACCACCCTTACTATCTCAGAGCACCTTGGTGGCGGTGGAGCTGACACAGTCTTGGCCCCCAGTTCTGAGGGTGCTGGAGCTGCAGGAGCTGAGGTCAGAGGCTGACTTCAACTGCCACGGGAAAGGGAAGCCCAGGTCAGAGTCAACCTACCCTTAGTCTCAGGTTCCAGGAGGTGCTGGTCTAAGTCCCCACCAAGATGGCCCCATGGGCCAACACCTGGACAGATGGGGCTGGGTACCAGCTCTGGAGGGGCAGGCTTGGGAGCAGGAATTTGCAACACAGGAACGCATCCCGAGGCTTCAATCCAGATGAAGAGTCTCTCGCCTTCCATCCTGGCAGATACCAGGAGCACACTGGACAGGGGAACAGTATGCCACAGACAGCCTGGGGCTTGCTCCCCTACCTGCTATCAAGTCCCACTGAACCTCCATAAAACCCTCCTCTTTCTGCCACAGGCAACTGAAAGCTGAAGCTGCCAAAGTTCATTGGCCCTGATCAGCTACCTGTGGAGCCTGGGGGAACCATGATTGATCCTGATGGTAACCTCCAGTACCTGACCAAGGTACGGGGTGTCCAGAGGTCAGGGATGGAAGGGGCCATGGTCTAGTGTTCACTCATCCACCTTCACACACAGATCAATTATGGGGGCAAGGTGCCAGGAGCTACTACTTGCACAACCAGGTGAAGGTGCAGTGGGAGCTCTCGGTCACTGGGCCAAGGTGTACCCTTGCTACTGGAGAATGAGATTCTATTCCTGGTCTACATGCTCAGGCAGGGACGCTGGCCGCTCACACATGGAGCCCAGGCAGCTGGTCATCAGTGGGCCCTGTCCCCTGCAGGTGGTAGCTGGCATCAGCTGGGCAGACCTTGGCTTTGGGGTTTTCCTGAGGATTAAGAAGGGGGAAGAGCAGTGGGTAAGGGAGATGTCAAAGGTGCTGCCCAACTAGTGCTACAACACCCACCTTTTGCCTAAGGACAGGAGCCTCACCTGCTTCAACATGGGTGTCTGTAAGTGTTGGCAGGAAATAGCTCCAGCTGAAGCTGAGGAGCAGGAGTGGGTGCCTTGACATGCGTCCGGATCCCACTAGGTCAGGTTCCTGGAACAGATAGGCACAGAGTGAAGCTGGCTGTGGGCTCTCAGGCATGGCAACAGATCCTGGGTCTGGGATTTACTACCATGGAGAGCAGAGTCCTAGGTAGGACCCTAGGTAGACGTCTTGTCTGAGTGCCCCTCAATGCAGATGTCTTAAGGTTTGACAACATCTATAGCCTGGTTCATTCTAAACACAGTAGCCACACCTGGAAGGTGCTCCTTCTGGACCAAAACTTCATGGAGAAGATGGAGAAATTCTAGGTGAGTCTCATGGCTCCCACACCCTCCTCTTTGATTTCTGTGTCCACAGTGAGTTCACAGCCTTCCCTGGTCAGACCCCTCAACCTCCCCAGGAATCCTACAACAGTCAGTCTCAGCCATCTGTCACCATGGGTCTGCATCTCAGGAACTGCTGGGGCAGTGTCCCAGTGGTGGCCAGATGGCCACAGCAAAGCAACACAAATGCTCTGTCCGCATCACTACCTCCAGCGACCTCAAGCTCAGCGAAAACTCTAGTCAGTTTTTATGAACCAATACTGAGGCATGAGTTATTATTTTAAAATATATTGTATTATTAGAACACTTGAGGCATTTTCAACAGATACAGGAAATAATTGCCACTAAAAAGACAGTCGACTACTCACCATTCCCAAGGAGGGGGCATGCCGCACCATGGGGCCGCCTGGAAAAGCACCAGGGTCGGTCATGAGGTGGAGGGAGAGGGAGGAATTGTGGCAAAAGCCTTTGTTATGGTTTCCACAGGAAGGAATGGGTGAGGCAGGGGAAGCAAGCCTGGGATTAGGTAGTTGGAATAATTTCAGGGGGCTCTGGGGCATTGGGGCTGTCCCTGGTAGCCTGGGACCAGGTCGTGGGGTGACTAGGACTGGGGGATAGTGGCCCCAGGTGTGAGAGCTCAATATAGGAGGTGGTTGCACTATGTGCTCTATATTAGTTGGTTTGCATTTGAAAAGCAAAATCATGGGTGAGTTTTTCTCCATGTCTAGGAATTGGCTCTTCCTGGGAGGGATAGTTTCTCCAGAATCAGCAAGGCCCCAGGTGTCAAAGCATCAGAATACAGAAAATAAAAGACATGATTAATACAGTTACCCAGCAATCAGTTGTGCAACTGAAATTCAGCCTCACAGCTTTCCCTATCTAGAAAGAACTTTTAACCCTCAATTCTGTCTTACACATACACACTCCCCAATGTCGGGGTATCTGAGAATTTGGATGGAGTCTGGGTCTCCATCCAAGCTCCTGATTAAGATTTCAGACCCAGCCTCTCACTGAGCACCACAGGCCCAATAGCCCCACTAGGATGGCCCTGTCCTGTATCAGGCCCCTGGGTTTGGCTGTGTGGTCAGCTGAGATTCTGCCTGTTACCCACTATTCACATGCATGTCCCCTGATTGCTCTCAAAGTGGTAGCCCCAGTTGACAGCCCTATTTCCCTAACTGGTTACTTTGCTGGAAGTCCTGTCCAAACATGGAAATGTGGCCGTTCAGCAGGCCTTGCTCTTGGTGATCCTACATACATTCCCAGACTCACTGCCTTCGCTTTTAAGGGCTCACCACCCGCCCCTATTCAACAATCTATTCCAGAATTTTGATAACAAGTTTACTCAACAGACACCAAAGCCCATCTTCGGCTTCCTCTCATCCTCCATGATTCTCCCCTGTTCTCCTGCACAGAAGATGCCGAGGAGCTGGGGGTTGGGGCCAGCTAAAGAAGCACCCCACAGCCTGCAGCCCAGTGGACTAGGGGAGGGCACCAGGGAGCCAAGGAAAGGACAGAGCAGTGTTCCTGGAGTTGGCCCCTTGGCCCATGATTTGCCCCATCCTACTCACCACCTCATCCTCTCTAGTATCTGTCTTTGCCACAGTCTCCTTGGAAACAGGCTGAAGGCCATGGTCATTGATCAGATAATGGTGCTCTCCACAGCTGGTCCCACCTGCTTCCTCTTACACTGTGGTTCCACTCAAAGCATCCACTCCAGGCTCTGCCCCAAACGGAGGTGAGGCTCTGAGCTGCCCCTGCTCACTGTTCGCTCTTCCCCAGTCCCCTCCCACATCTACCATGAATTTATACCAGAGCCTCCTAACCAGCTTCCCTACTTTGAACAATCTGTGGTTTCCCTCATTCTTCACCCTGGCCTCAGGGTTATCTTCCTGGAACGGGTGGAATCTCCCTCTAAAACTTTCAACTTCTACCTACCTTGATTAGCACATGGCCCAAAGTGAACACTGCCTAAAATTCCTTCATGACCTGACCTCAATTTTTTGAGCCCTTTATCCTTGTAGCATCTCTCTTCCCACTGTGTGAGTTTCTTTGGGTAGTCACCTCCGTCTAGAACATCTCTCCACTATTCTCACCTTAAAGGCCCAACTAAAATACCATCACCTCTGGGGGACATCCCAGAAGTAAGAGCTCAGTGCTCTTACTTAGACCTCAGCTAGAACATTCTACCTTCAAGGAACCAGGACAGGTGGTGTTAAGGATCCAAACCTTGAGGGTAACAGATAAGGGTTCAAATCCTGGCTCTGGCTCTGGCTCTTACCAGACCGAAGCTCAGTTTCCCCATGTGTTAAATGGGCACTGGGGTACAATGGTGAGCACAGAAAATATGGCCCATGCCTTCATGGAGCTGACAGTTAAGGAGGTGAGTCAAATAGTCAAACTATATGATGTCAAATGAGATTTACACTCACAAAAGAGGAGTAGGGTTCTGTTTGACAATTTAACTTCGGTATCAGAGGTGGCAGTAACAGCAGGAGGAGGAAGTGAGGGAACAGTGTTCAAGTCAGAGGGACTAGGATGTGCAAAGGCCCTGTGATAGGTTGGAAGCAGCGAAGAGAGAGAGATAGCTCCATACACTGCCTACCTGATGTTCTATGGCTTGGGAAGGCCAGGGACCTCCTGGGTTTTGTAGGGGAAGAAATCCAACTGAGGCCCCAGATCCCTAACCCACATTTTCCCCTTGTGTGTCAGGACCGTCAGCGTAGTGGGTCAGGTTCCCCTTGCCTATCCCTCTCTCTCCTAGGCCCTTGAGGCCATCTGTCTTCCTAGGGAGCAAAGAGTACAGGACCCACTTTTCCCTGGGGTTACCCTGAGCCAAGGAAACCTTCCCACAGCTGCCCTAGAGCCTAATTTCCACCTCCCAACCAGGCCCAGGCATGAGGCCACCCCAGCCCTGGGCATCTGTGTCAATCAGACGCTCCCTCCCAATTCTTCTCCCATGGGTAACCCAAGTCCTACATATTGGGAGGACGACCAGTGGCATCTGTCCAGCTTACACTTCCACAGGGTGGACTGTGGATTGATTTAGCCATGATGTGGGGCAGAGCAGGCAGGGACACCTGCAAAGCCTGACTGCATCCCAAAAATGGAGATGTTCACCCAACAGAGTTTCCTTTAGCTAGCTTGCTGACTTAGTACAGCAAGCAGGGCACCTCTGGCCACTGAGAGATGCCAGGAGTTCTCAGAGTGTCTGGAAGGTGGGAGGGAGAGGTGCTGAGTGGGCAGGAGCTGTGAAGTTAGTGTTACATACCATGACAACACCATCATTGTAGTCCAGCTTCTCAGCCAGGAGCCAGGAGGGACCAAGGCAATGAGTCATCTTGGAAGGTGGGAAGAGATGGGCACACCATGGGAAAGAGGAGTCGTCTGTCTTCCAAGCCACTGGTACTCAGATGGTTAGGGCAAAGGCCTCCATGCCCAGCAGTAGCTGACATTTCAGGAGGTGGCGGCATGCTACAGGCTCAGGGGAGGACACCTGCCCTGTGTTGGGAAGATAGGGACTTGAGGGTGACCTGGAACCAAGGAGCTGAGCAGGCAGAAGGATATGGCATGGTGAGCGCCTGGCCCTGCACCAACCTACCTGGGTCCTTGCCGGCTGTGAGACCTCAGGGGGTTCCTTAACTGCAGTTTCCTGGCCTATAAGCAGGGATAATAATAGTGTTAACCTCAGAACATGCCTGGAGGATTAAGTGAGCTAACACTGCACTGTCCAATAAGCCCCAGACTGAGTGGCTATAACAATAAAATGTACCCTTTGAGGCTAGAAGTCCCAGATCAAGGTGTCCACAGGCTTGGCTCCCTCCAAGGGCTGAAAGGAGGACTATGTTTCATGCGTCTCCCCTAGCTTCTGATGGGTTGCCAGCAATCTTTGCCTTCCTTGGCTGGTAGGCGCGTCACCCCAGTCTCCGCCTTCATCTTCACATGGGTCTTTCCCTGTGTGCATGTCTGTGTCCACATTTCCCCTTTTTATACAAACACCAGTCATATTGGATTAGGGGCCCATCTTACTCCACTCTGACCTCTTCTCAACTAATTACATCTGCAATGGCCCTGTTTTCAAGTAAGGTCACATTCTTAGGTACTGGGGATTAGGACTTCAACTTCAACAGATGAATTTTTTTGAAGGGACACAGTTTAATCCATAACACCACCTGTGGCTATTTGAGAGTTTGAAATGTCACTGGTGGGAACTGAAATGTGTTGTTTTGTTAAATGCACACTGGAATTCAAAGACTTGGCACCAAAGAAAAAGCAGGATATCTCATTATTAATGAGATCATTGATTTATCTCATTTGTTAGTCACATTGATTACATGTTGAAATGATATTTTGGATACATTATGTTAAATAAAGTATATTATTAAAATAAGAAATTTAAATTGTAGATGCCAGAGAATTTAAAGTTACCTGTGTGAAAATAAACAAACAAACAACATTGAAACACTCATAGATACAGACAACAGACTGATGATTGACAGAGAGGAGGGCGCTTGGGGGACTCGGTCTGAAAGGTGAAGGGATTAAGGAGTACAAAGTGGCAGCTGCAGAATGGTCAGGGGAATGTAAATAAAGTGCAGCACAGGGAATACAGTCAGGAATGTTGGAATAATTCTGTATGGGACCAGGTGGGTACTGGAAATATTCAGGGTGGGAGAACACTTTGTAAAGTATATGACTGTCTAACCACCATGCTATATACCTGAAACTAATACAAGATAATATTCAATGTAAACTGTCATTGAAAAATTTTAAAAAATAATAAAGTTACCTGCGTGGCTCCCATTACCTGAGCTAATATTTACAAAGCCCTTAGAGCAGGGCCTGGCCCATAGAAGATGCCTGTACGAGCTGGTTAAATAAAGGCCTCTCTTTGGAGGTGACTTGTTACCTGTGGCATTTTAAAATGATGACTTCCTACCCCTCAGAGACTAGGGAAAATTTGGAACAAACTTCTTTTCTTGTCTGGCTCTTCCTTAATGAGTAGATTTTATTTTACTTTCCGAAAGCATATGGCATATACAATGTGGTCCTATCACTTCCAAGTTATTTTGTGGTATTTTTCCTATATCGTTATAAACCCTTCATCAACCACATTAAGCACTGTGGTTTCCTAAAAAATTGTTTCTAATTTTCATATTAACAATGCACAAACAACTTTAAGCTGATTGTTTCTATTAGTTAGAATTATTATTAGGCAAAGTGGTAAACTATTGAAAGATCCTAATGCATGTTGTCAAGTAGTTTTCTAGAGAAGCTGAACCGATTTCCAGTCCTGCCAGCAATGCATGAATGTTTCCATTTCACCAACTTATAACTTTAGAAAGGTTTCGTGTGTGTGTACATGTTTCTTTTGTACTATTGCTGATTGGGGATGGGAGTATCTCTATTTGTATGAACATTTCTTTGGTGACCTGCAGGTTGAGCATTTATTCACTTGTTTGCACTTCCTCTTCTGATAATCGGTGTTTTGAGTCTTTTGTCCATTTCTTAGTGCCTTGTTATTTTTCTTATCAATTTGCATTCATTCTTTATAAAGATCAATTTTTGCACATTTTATATTTCCCAAACTTACATCAGCAACTACAGACTTAATCATACCTTAATTATGTTTCTTGTTTAACAGATTTTTGTATCTTTATATAATCAGATCAATCAACTGATTGTGATTTCTGTCATTGCTTTTAAGTGCAGACCATGCCCTTCCAGAGATGTGCTAAGCATCACTTTATCTTCTTTTTGCTTTTTGTAACATCTATTTATCTATCTTTCTTGATTTAAAATCCCTCTAGGACAGCACTGTGCAAACAAAATATAATGCAAGCTAAAAATGTGAGCCACACATGTAATTTTAAATTTTCTGGTAGCCCCATTTTTGAAAAGTAAAAAGGATAGGCAGAGCACAAAAAATTTTAGGGTAGTGAAATTATTCTGTATGATACCACAGTGGTGAATACATGTCATTATACATTTGTCCAAACCCATAGAATATACTACACCAGGAGTGAACCTGATGTAAATTATGGACTTTGGGTGATAATGATGTAGGTCCACCAGTTCTTCCAAATGTGCAACTCTGGCAGAGGATGTCCATAGTGGGGCAGGCTGTGTGCGAGTGCGGACAGGGAGTAGGTGAGAGTTCTCTAGGCTTTCTGCTCAATTCTGTTGTGAATCTAAAACCGCCCTAAAAAATAAAGTTTGTTAATTTATAAAATTCTAAATTACAAAAAGTAAAACAAAAAAATAACAACAGGTGAAATTAACTTTAACAATATACCTTATTAACTCAGTATATCCAAAAATATTATCACTTCAACATGTAATCAATATAAGAAGTTAATTAAGGAAATATTTAATTTTTCACCCTATTCAATAGGTCTTTGAAATTTGGTGTGTATTTTACACTTAGAGTATGTCTCCATTTTCACTAGTGACAAGCCACATTCCCAGAGCTCAGCTGCCACACATGGCTCGCGACCTCCATATTAGGCAACGAAAACTTGGTTTGACCCCAATGGAGGGTAGAGGGCAAAGGTTCTGGTAGCCTGATTTCCTGCCCCCTCTACTTTCACCTCCCAGTGGCTCTGGAAATTTCTGACCAGCCAACTTGAGTTTTCTCACCTTCCCCAGTGACATTTGCCTGGCTCTCCGGTGCCATCCTGGAAACCCGTGTCCGCAGCCTACCACCATTGGCTTCCCAACCTCTCTGTCACCCTACCCTGTGCTTCCATCTGTCCATTGTCACCTCCCATTTCTGGCCATAAGGCTGTGGATCCCACCCAGGAGCTCACATGGGGTCCACCCTGGGATCTCCACTTCTGCAGCTTGCTGCTCTGGTCATAGCCGCAGTAGCAATGAGTATGGCACAATATTCCCATCAGCCAACACCTACAGGGTATGCATGCCAGGCAAACCCATGGTGGATCATCTTATCTAATCCTCCAGACCATCCTGAAGGCTGGAACTATTTTGAGCCCAAGGGCTCTATCAGCTAGAGAACACTGGCAAGGTGCCGCTGGTGTTCAAGGTCAGGGGAAGGGGTGGGAGGACCTTTGGAAAGGAAGACCTAGGGGCCATCTAGAAGGTTGAACCAAGTTTATAGTCCATTTTGCTGGAAGGGGATCTTGGTGCTCCCTGAAACTCGCCCAGGTATCCTTTATGCCTTCTGCCGTGGCTACCCTGTGGGGCTCCTGGGATGTGGAGGACTGGAGGTGGGGGGCGCCTGCTGCCCTCGACTGAAGTCTGCTCTGGGACTCCTCGGGGAGGAGGGGTCCATCTCCTTGCCCCGCGTAGAGTCTGGATGACTGCCGGTGTGGCAAAAATCCCAAAGGGGAGGAGAAATCACGGCGAGACCCGGCGGGGCGCGGCTCTCCCGACGGGGCGGGACTCACAGGTGACCTGCCGGGTAAAACCAGGCTCCCAGGACCGCCTCGAGCTGCAGAACCTGGCGCCTACAAGCACCATGAGCGGCCGAGTCGGGGACCTGAGCCCCCAGCAGCAGGAGGCGCTGGCCAGGGTGAGGGTCTTCGAGGGCTGAGGGCCGGGAGGCCGTGGGAGGGACCGAGCAACCTGACGCTGCCCACCCGGGCTGACGAGCCTACTGTACGGAGGGGAAAGGGGACTCTGGAGAGCGCCCCTGACCAGACGGTCCCGAGCCCAGTTGCCCAGGCAGCTGCGTACGGGACACGGGACAGGAGTCTTTCTCTGGGCGATACTGGGGCCCAATCCAGCTTTCCACTCCTGCCCACTCGTGGCCACTGAGTTCTGACTCTTGAACCTCGGATAGGGTGCAATGGGGTGGGGCGGGTCCCTGCCATCCCACTCCTGGGCAGCCTTGGGCAGACTCCCAGAGCTCCCACCCAGATTGCAACATTTGTTTGGCTTCTCTTTGTGGCTTTCTGACTCCTCAGAGCCTAAGCTGTCTCCCTATTGTCAATGTTTTCATTAGAGGGGAATTGAGTTTTGGATGATTTCAAGACAGGTGGGTAGGCTATGGGGAAGGGGGAAGCCTTAGGTGCGACAGCATTAATGTGGTTTGCAGATGACCAGAGGCTGGAAACTGTGACTCCAGGTTGGGGGAGAGGGTTGGTCACAGCCCCAGCTTGCACTTTGGGCCTGTAAAAGGGCAGCTTCAGACACGTGGAGAGTGATGTCTGTTGAGGCTCCTACCTTCTGGAGGATGTGAGGATCCTCCAGACAGGAATGAGGACCCCTGGGAAAGAAGGGGGACCCTGAGTGAATTCCTAGTGAAGGAAAGAGGGGTCCCAGGTGAATGATGGGGCGCCGGGGTGAATTCACAGATAGAGGAGGAGATTCCAGCAGCGGAGGGTCCTGGAGGGTCCCAGATGAACGTAAGGTCCTCAAGTGAAAGAAGGAGGGTCCCCTGGCGAACCTCCTCCCTCCCTCACTGGCAGTGGCCTCAGAGAGGCCCCAGACACTGGGCTTCTAGGAGGGACTGGACACCTGGTTCTGGAGGGTGAATTATGATGGAGATGCCTGTGCATCAGAGCTTTGAACAATGTAAAAAGAGTTTATTCTTATTCTTACCATTATTTAAAAGAAATGGATTCTATTCTTAAATTTAGGGAAAAGGAGAAAAGTAGAGAGACCTGGGAGAAGCCACCCATGGTCGCAGAGTTCTAGGCAACCATGCTGGGAGCATCTAGCTCTTTCCTAAACCTAGTTCTCACCTAGTTCCCACTGCCGGAAGCTACCGCTACATTCTCCACATGGCACCATCCGTGTGTCCTCCAAGTTGTTTCAGTCCCTTCCCAGCCGCTTCCCAGCCCCTGCATAGTGGTTTTCTCTTTTATTTGACATGAGTTTCAAGGGTCAAGTGGCTTTGGGATTGGAAGATGCGGACTCCTGCTGCTCTTGCTGCTGCCTTACTCTGCCCCTGGGGAAGACCCCCTCCCCCTCTTTCGCCCAGCCTCAGTTTCCTCACCTGCAACGCAGGGACGTGACCTTTGCTCCCCCTGCCTCAGGGCACATCCTGAGGTTCAGAGGAAGGAATCTGGGAATCTGGAGGGGCTGAGGGGTGTACGGTTATTGTCTCTCGGGTAATATTGCTTCCCTCCTCCCTGAAGAAACTTCCTCATGGGCCTGGAGGCTACAGCTGTTCAATGTGCGCGAAGCTCCATTTCAGGTGCAGGTCCCGACTGGTGATTATTAGAGCAGATGCTGTTGCTCGTGGTATTAACAATGGAGATGTTTAAGCTGATTATTCATTTTTAATTATGGGACCAACACAGGAATGCATTCTTGTTTTAGAAATCATCCATAAGGCTAAAGATGGTTTGGTGGATGGTCATCAAGACAGCTTCCTACAGCTGTGCTGGAATCTGTTTCCAATCCCAAATTCTCAGTCACTGGTTCCCCTGTACACCCAGCCCGCAGGCCTTGTCTATGGCCCCCTTCATCCCCATGGAAGTGGGGTCTCCTCTTTTATCTCACACTTGAGCCTCAGTTCCAAACCCAAATTCCCAGTAGCTTCCCCAGTCTCTACTGGTAAGAAAAGGCACCCCCCACCGGTCAGCCGCCCTCCGTTCCCCCAGCCCGAATGGGGCAGCCCTGGCTTCCTTTTCAGTCCCTCTCTTCTGACCTTTGCCCGGGGTCATTTCCACAGAGACTCCACTGGCCAGAGCTGTGAGCAGTCCATGTTTGCTGTGTGCCCGCATTTATGTGGCACCTGCTGTAAGCTGGGCCTGCTGCTGTGCTTTACCTGTACAAATTCCTTTGATTGGCACAAGTTTATCATTATTCTCGCTTCACAGATGAGGAAACTGAGGCTCAGAGAGGTTAAGTAACTTGCTTCGAAATCTGAACCCTCAAGGTGCAGCATCAGGGGCAACTTTCCTAAAATGTTCCAGGCAGCCCGCATGGGCTTCACCAGGGATGTCTGCAAAAGTAGCGATGGCAAGGCCCCCACCTCAGACTTACAGAGTGAGGGTTGGGGGGGCGGAAATCCCCCAAAATCTGAGAAGGGCACAACTCTTCCTGCCATGGTGGGCTGGAAGGACTGGTGTGCCCCGTCTCCAGGTGGCACAATAGCCCAGGTAGCTGCTGCTAACTGTGCAGTCCCTAACTCTTCAGGGTCCCTGAGCAGGGCTGACTGCTCACTGAGGGTGGGAAGATCTGGGGACGGGATTGGGGGCCCTGGGGTCATGGGAGCCCCTCTAAAATCATATGACCCCCCCTCAGTTCCGGGACAACCTCCAGGACCTGCTGCCCACCATGCCTAAGAATGATGATTACTTCCTCCTGCGCTGGCTACGAGGTGAGGCTGGTGAGAGTGGAAGGTCTCAGGGGAGGGAGTGGAGACTTTGGAGGACAGTGCCACAGAGTGGCAAAGAACATGGGCTCTGGAATCAGCCCTTCTTGGGCTAGAATCTGAGCTCCCCTTCAAACTGGCATGGCACCTCCCCATTGGCTGTTTTGAGTGTTAAATGAGAGGGTATCGTGCTTAGCACCGGCGGGGAGGCACAGAGCAAAGTGAGGTTAGAGTTAACACTTGGGAAGTTCTCTGGATGACGGGACTGGCCAGGCCTCGAGTCAGATATCGCTGAACACAGTCTTCAGGAGCTGCCTTTTGGTCTTCTTCCAGTTCCTCGAAGACAAGGCTATACTGTCCCCTTAGAGAACCTGGCACCAAACAGGTGCTCAGCAAAGACTTCAGGAAGTGGATGTAATTAAGAGTGGAGGAGTTTCTTCTCAGAATTGCTGAAACAGTGTAAAATGATTATAATAACAGAAACTGCCCCAGAGCTTAGGGAAAAATTTATTTCGACTCAGCACACCCCATGGAATGGGTTTTGAACTTGACAATCAGGACAGAGCTGGTGGCCCTGGATGGATAGCTCAGTTAGTTGGAGCATCATCCCATGCACCAAAAGGACTGTGGGTTTGATTCCTGGTCAGGGCACATATCTAGGCTACTGGTTCAATATCCAGTCGGGGCGCACACAGAAGGCAACCGATCGATGTTTCTGTTTCTCTCTCTCCCTTCCTCTCTCTCTGAAATCAATTTTAAAAAATATATTCTTGGGTGAGGATTTAAAAAAAGAAAAGAAAAAGACAGAGCTTGTGGCCTCAGTGGTTTTTTCTGGAGGTTCATGATCAGGGCAGAGGGAACCTAGAGGTATCTCAGGCCTCTTCCATTTGAAAACCTCTGACCCTGGATCTTATTGAAGTCCCATCACAGAACAAATTCCTCAGGGAACCAGCGGTCTCAGAAAGCAACAGTCATTGCATTTCTAAAATACAGCAAGCATTATGTTTTCAGTTAAAGTTTATTTATTTCTTCAAAATAAGTAATCACAACAGTATCTATCATTTAACCAGGTCATGTGTCAAGCACTTTCTCTCATGTCATCCTTTGAATAACTCTGAAAAAGATATTATTCCCATTTAACATATTTTAAAACTAAGGCTCAGAGAAGTTAAGTGACCTGCTCAAGGTTGCACAGCAAATACCAGGACAAAAGTAGACTTCACACCCAGGTTGCCCTGACTCCAAAGCCCATGCCCTGCACTATCCCTAATGCCAAGGGTATCTCTGTTCCCAGAGGGATGTCAAATATCACAGTCTAGAGCAGCCTTTAGAATGAAGTGTTTGAAAACGTCTGTAAACTGAAATCAAAGGCCCTTCAAAATCTTCTAGAGAATTAAAGACCCTTGCACTTTAACAAACTTTTCAGACCCCCTCTGTATCCTTGGGGTGTCAGGAAAATCAGGGGGCACCCCACAATTTCATCACAAATTTTCAGAGAATGGCCTGTTCTAGATCTGGCCTCAAGCCTTCTCTTACCTTGACTCTTCTTACAGCTCAGACCTTTGACCTGAAGAAATCTGAGGACATGCTCCGGAAGGTGAGGCCCTTTCCCTCACTCTTGCCTTCTGCATGCTGTACCCCAGGAATTAGTGGCAAAGGGTAGGGACTGTTGCCCTGTCCCTTTGTCATGTTTCTTCTCCTCCTTGGATCCTTTTTCGGCATCAGACCCAGGTCCCCCACAGTCCTCCTGGTGTCCTCATGCCCAGTTCAAAGTTAGCAGAGCCTGGGGATGCTTTGGCAGGATCTGGTAGTCGTGGGCAGAGGGGCCTTTGGGACAGGTAGTCTTCAGGTCTTGCCCTGCTTCCACAGCACATGGAGTTCCGGAAGCAACAGGACCTGGACAACATCCTTACATGGCAGCCCTTGGAGGTGAGCCTCACAGAGCATCCCCAGGCCATCTGGTAACCTCCCCCTCTCACTCCCCACCACCACGTCCAGCCCCCTGATGGGGCAAGGACGTGGCTCGGTGGGCTGATTTGAGTCAGGATCTCACCGCAGGTGATCCAGCTGTACGACTCGGGCGGTCTATGTGGCTATGACTATGAGGGCTGCCCCGTGTGGTTCGACATCATCGGGGGACTTGACATGAAGGGTCTCATCCTATCAGCCTCCAAGCAGGAACTCATCCGGAAACGTATCAAGGCTTATGAGTTGCTTTTGCGGGAGTGTGAGCTGCAGAGTGAGAAGGTGAGTGACCAGGGCCAGGTGGTGGGGAGTGTTGGAGGAGTGGGGTGGGGGGGAGGGGTCATGTTAAGCCTCGTCTGTCTAAAAGGCGGCACCAGGACCAGGAAGGGGAGGTACCCTGCCCCCACTTTCCCCTAGCCCTCAGCACTCCAGGCTCTGGTGGAACGTGGCTTCTCCTGCAGTCACCCATCTACAAGCATCTAACACGGCATGACCCTCTCTGCCAGCACGAGCCAAGGGCCGCCAAAGCCCTCTCCCCTCTCCTTTGACCTTAAGTGAGATGCTGACCTTGGGTGCAGTGAATGTTCTCCTTCTGTTCCCCAGGAACCCTGGGAACAGTGGGTAGTCAACTTTGCTTATAGAAAAGGCGTCCTGTGATTCTAAATTGCATGTGTGTAATCACCTGATGGGGGAGCCGTTACTTTGGATGTCCCAGAGAGCAGTGACCCTGGAAACTGGACACATCCCCTTGTGGGTCCCTAGAAGCTACTGTGGAGTAGGTTCAAAAAAATATGGAGCCCTATGGGACACGGGGCTTCTAAGCCAAGAAGGACCCACCCCCACCTTTGCAGGTCTTCTTGCCCAAGTCTGTGTTCCCTGGCCTGTAACCTTCAGCGTGAATCTAATGCCGTCTTGGTTTTTTGAGTCTAAGTGTCTAATGAGCCCAAGAAGAAGATCCCCACAGGGAGCTATGTCACTGTAGGGTGAGTTGGCAAATGGCTGACTCCAAATGACGTGGACATTTGATGTAGGGGGACGGGGCTTGTGTCTCCAGCATCTGGCACGGTGCTGGACACAAAAGACCGCCACAGAGATCTGTGGCAAACATGAGAGAATTGCAAAGCACTGTATTTAGTGCCTGGTTTGAATAAGTGTGTGCCTCTCAAACAAGATGGCTGATGTCAAAGGTCCAAAACAGTACAGCATGGATGTCTCAATTGGAGCCGATAATTATGGTGATAATGATGTTACTAACAATATCTGTTAATATTCACCAGGGACTAGCCATGTGCCAGGCACTAGGCTCATTGAGTACTCACAGCAAGTCTGTCAGAGCCTGGAACTACCCCCACTTGACAGAGAGGGAAAAAAAGTAAGGTTCAAAGGGGTTAAAAACTCACCCAAGGCCACGTAGCCTGCCAACAGTGTAGCTCTGGCTTGGACACAACTGCAGGACTGCAAACAGCGGTCAGCAGAGTGTACTGTTGTATCGAAAGATACCCAGTGAATAAGGAATGATGACTTTAATTCCATGGTTAACTAATTTCAGGCGATACTTTTGAACACATTGTATGATAAGGACCACTGTGCCAGGGCTTAGATGCAGCCCCTAGATAGGTGTATCTGTTTGGAAAACACTCTGGGTGGCCAGGGTCGGGGTAACAGGAAGGGAGGAGCTGTGGCCGGGTCTCGCCGGCCAGTATCTCCCAGCTGGAGCTGTTGCCTGACCCATATACCTCACTGTCCCATACAGCTGGGCAGGAAGGTCGAGACGATGGTGATGGTGTTTGACCTGGAGGGGCTGAGCCTGAAACACCTGTGGAAGCCAGCTGTGGAGGTCTACCAGCAGGTAAGGTAAGCCGCTGGCTCGAGGCCAATAGGGAGCTGCTGCCGACACAAGCTTCAGTCCATGGAAGAGGGGGATACCCCCCACCCCCGCCCAGGGGTCTCACAGAGCAGCCAGTGAAGCTAGCCCTGAGTACCCCCTGCAGAAAGAAAGAGGACAAAGTATGTGGTCATGGGCAGATGGGGTGGGCCAGGGAGTAGGAGGACGGGGACTCTTGTTCAGCTGCCTCAGAGGCCACTGAAGCCAAGCAGAGATATTGGAGTGTGGCCTAAACCAGACTTTTCTTGACTCTACAGTTTTTTGTCATCCTGGAAGCAAATTATCCTGAGACAGTGAAGAGTTTAATTATAGTTCGAGGTGAGGATTAATTGGTCAGTGAGGGAGGAGCGGGGAATGGGGGATGGGCAGTGGGTAAGCCACCAAATTCAGTGCTTCTCAAACCATCCTCTGTGAAGAACGGGTTCTTGTGTTGGTTTGTTTTCTGGGGTGTGGTGTGTGTCTTAGCTCAGTCCTTCACGGACTGATACTTCTGGAATATACAAATGCTTATGCAGCAATGTCAAATAAGTTAGAAGTTTGTAAGTGCTTGCTGTTATTTTCTTTACTTATCGGGGTATGGACTGGTAACATACGGTCTGTGGACCATACAGGTTGGTGGACTAACTTTGGGTGGGAATAGCCCTTGTCCGTGACAGCAATATAGTGGGGGGGGAGGGGTCACCACATGTGCCCTGAGCCAGGTGCTCTGGCTTCCTATCTAGCTAGCTCTGTGACTTTGAGCAAGTCCGTGGAACCTGGCTGAGCCTCAATTTTCCCATTCTGTAAAATAGGGGTGCCATATCACCTTCCTCTTAAGACAGCTGTGAGGTTACATGAGACAGGCTGTGGAAAAGGTGTAGTACAGAGCCCGGTGCACAGAAATGTCCCAGTAAGTATGAGTGATTCAGATGGGACATGAGTTCTAAGGCACATGCCCTGCCTGCTTGCATCCAAGAGGATTCCAAGGCAACCTGGGAATACCTTGAGAGTGGAAAGGAAGAAGTGCTAATGAGAGATCAACACTGCTGAAGCTGTCCAGCTGAATTGGGAAGGCAAACATTTATGGAGAGCCTGGCACTGTGCCAAGTGTTATGCATACACTCTTAAATTCAATCTACATTTTATATAGATTGTTATATAATTATGGTTAATAGCACTGAGACTCAGAGAGGGTGAGTAACCAGCTGAGGGTCACAGAGCAGGAAGAGTCAGAATCTTGATCTGTCTAATTCCTGTCCAGCCCATGCCCTTGAGTGTGACTTTATATATCCAGGTCTTTTCTAGTCCAGCTTCCCAAGGGAGTTTCATGTGTTTCAGCCCCTAAGCTATTCCCTGTGGCCTTCAACTTGGTCAAGTCATTCATGAGTGAGGAGACTCGAAAGAAGATAGTGATTCTGGGAGGTGAGTGATGTGGCCTCCTGGCTGTGCCCATCTGCTTAGGAAGCAGAGGTCAAGGCTAAAGTCCTCATTTCTCCCCGGCTCTTCTTTACCCAGACATTGATCTTGGCCTGACTCCCAGCGGCCTTTGCACACTCAGACAAGGCTTTGAGCCCTAGATCCTTGGGTGGCCATGTAAAGCTCTTGGGTGATCTCATGAACAGGCACCCAGGAGAGCAAGCCAAGGACGCAGCAGGTCCCTTCCCATGGCCTGGCCCCCTCTGCCTTCTGTCAAGCCTCCTTGAGCCCCCCACAGCCACCCGCCTATTGCTCCCACAGGCAACTGGAAGCAGGAGCTGCCAAAGTTCATCAGCCCCGACCAGCTGCCCGTGGAGTTTGGGGGGACCTTGACTGACCCCGATGGCAACCCCAAGTGTCTGACCAAGGTACAGGGTGCCCAGAGGATGGGGAGGGAGAGGTAATTTGTGATTTCACTCACCCACCTTTACCCACAGATCAACTACGGAGGTGAGGTGCCCAAGAGCTACTACTTGCGCAACCAGGTGAGGATGCAGTATGATCACATGGCGACCGTGGGTCGTGGGTCCTCCCTGCAGGTGGACAATGAGGTCCTGTTCCCTGGCTGTGCGCTCAGGTAAGGATGGTGGCTCTTCACACCTGAGTACAGCTGGGAGGGACCTGCAGCCCAGGCAGGTGGTCATCAGTGGGGCCCTGTTCCCTACAGGTGGCAGTTTGCATCTGATGGGGCAGACATCGGTTTCGGAGTTTTCCTGAAGACCAAGAAAGGAGAGAAGCAGCGAGTAGGGGAGATGATTGAGGTGATGCCCAGCCAGCGCTACAATGCCCACCTGGTGCCCGAGGATGGAAGCCTCACCTGCCTCAAGGCTGGCGTCTGTAAGAACTGCAGGGTTCTCTAGAGTTGGTTTTTCCTCCTAGCAAAGAGATGAGCCGACTCATGTTGCCAGTCTGGCCTCTGTCTTTGCCTTCTATTTGCAGCCCTCAGGGAGGGTGCGGGGGTCTGTGCAAGCTCCTAGTCCCCAGAGGTGCCGGGGGATTGGCTCAGGCTGTTGGACCTGATGAATGGCCGTTGGTGTGGGTACAAGGCAGAGACTCACTGTAGAGGGTGGGATTCACAGCCTGGGGCCATGGGCTCAGCTCCTGGGCAGCCTCCACACTGGACTGGACAGGCTAAGAGGCGGGTACGTAAACAGCGTGAGACTAGCTTCAAGGGTCCCAAACTATCCAGGTGCGTGCACCACCCCTCTCTGGGCATTCTGAAGAGACGATTTTTCCAGGTGTTCATCCTTCCTTCCCAGGCTGCCCAGACTGTAACTGCCCAGTTACAGTTTGGTCAGTTTTATCAGAGACACTGCTGCCCAGAAATACCACAGACCTCCCACCACTATCAAGAACGGAGCTAGGAGAAGGGGGGCCCACGATTGATTTTCTCTGGAAGGAGAATGGTTTTTTTGCTAATGCTTTAGTTAATACGTACCTAGTTTATCTTGGTGGAAAGAGAGAATTAGGAGAGCGGAAACAGGAACTGGATGACTCCTCATGTCCCAGCGTCCACGTCGGCCTTTGGCGTTGAAGGACATACCCTCTATGAACGGCATGATGAAAAAGCGCCTTATGGAGCCCAGCCCTCTCTTCTGGGGAAAGCAGGGCTCCTCTCTGGGCTGGAGCATTGGGATAAAGGAATCTCAGTCCCTCCCCTCCCTTGCTCTGTAACCGTCGGAAAGTCACATCAACCCCTCTAGGCCTCGGTTTCCTCATTCATACAATGCAGATGCCAGTACCTTCCGTGGGGCTGCTTTGAGGATTCAGGGAGCTGTGGGTATTGATGTAATGCCTGGCACCTAGTAAGGGCTGACGCTTACTGGTGGCTATCACTAATTCTTTATTGAACAGCGTCATGCAAATGGATGGCCGTGAGCAATGGGCTGGGAGCTGAGCAGTGGCTGATCCTCCAGCCCCACCCACAGTCCTGGGCAGCTGGTTCCTAAGGGCACCAGGTTCTCAGATGGGTCAGGCTTGAGTTGCCTGATTACTTCTCCGTCCTTGCAGATGTCCTGCGCTTTGACAACACCTACAGCCTGATGCACTCTAAGAAGGTCAGCTACACTGTGGAGGTGCTGCTCCCTGACAAGGCCTCCCAGGAGAAGATGCAGGATGCCAAGGAGACAAGATCATCCCCAGAACTATGAAGACCCTCTGTGCCAGTGCTCTCCAACCCCCTTTGCCCCCCACTCCCTTTCCCCTGCTCTCCCAGGCAGGATGGTGCTGGAGGTGACCGCAGAGAGTACTCAACCCACATGTCCATCTCAGCTCCTCATGGGACCACCTGGCACAGTGGCCAAGCAGAAAGGGGACACCTAGTGCATAGGCCAGCCTAAGGATTCAGATGAGCGTTTTTATCCTCTGTTTGAAAAGACTGAGAATGAAGACCCTGAGGATGAACCAGCATCCACGGAGGAAGGATCCTGTCCACCGAAGTGGCCCTGAGTCCCTCCTGACCTGTCCCATGGCTCAGCCACACCTGGCACCCAGGCTTGGGGGCTTAAGCCCTAGGCCTTGCAGGGAGCACAGCCTCAGGACCTAAGATCAGGGAGGCCGAATTCTCTGCACAAATGGGCTCAGCAGGGATGGGTGGGACCAGCTAGAGGGACAGGGTAGAGGGACAGGGCAGGGACAGGGTAGAGGGACAGGGCAGGGCTGAGGGTGTCCCTTCTGGCAGAGCCTCAAGGCCCCTCCAGGGTTGTTCTCCTTCCTTTGGAGGGAAAATCAGAAATGGAGAGCAAGACCCAGCAGGTATATCCATCAGAAGACAAGGTCATGCTCAGCCTTACACAGAGCTGAGTGGGTGAAGCCTGAGTCTCCAAGGGATTCCCAGTGACTCCCCTTCCTCCCTCCCCACCTGCTGTGACCAGCTGACATTCAGCTCGGGTTCCTTCTGTCTCAGGGTGGGGGCCAGCACCGAAGCAGAGCCGGAGTAAGCTGGACTGTGCTGGCATATTGCAGAACGAGCTGCCACCCCAGGGCCCTCATCTCAGGCTCTGACTTGCTTCTCGGAGAAGCATCCAGCTTTTCCTCCATTTTTATGTCTTCCAAGGGGACAGCTGAAAGCCAGCTGCCAACTTCTGACCCCACCATGCAACCCAGCAGCTGGCCAGTGATGGATTCTATTTCTCGAAAGCTGGCTCACCGGGGTGCCTGCAGCCCGGTCAGGATACCACTTGCTCTGCTGAGTGGACCGCACCCAACAGAGCCAAGCTTGCCGTGAAACAAATAAAGGAAGCCATCGAACTGGGAGTGGGTCTGCGGGTTGACTCCAGCTGGCAGTAAAGCCATTGAACAGGGTCTGGGAGTCCAGGCTGTGCTACCCTGCCCCTCCCCACCCTGCCCCCTGCTCTCTGGCTGGGCCAGGCCAGTGGCCACCAGCATTCCTAAAGACCTGACCCTGGGGTGACTTGTCCCTCAGCTCTTGACCTCTGCCAATGAGCTACTTGTTCATCCTGTCCCTCAGGGCGAAGGAGTACTGTCCTCCAGGTGATGTCCCCAGGAGAGAGTGGTCCAAAGTCTCTATAAAAGGGCTCTCCCTGTAAATCATTAGCACCCTGGCTGCCCAGGCCCATCCCAGGGACTGGGAGCCTCAACGGATGCCACTGTCCAGGTGCTTTGCAACCAAGAAGCCGGGCTCTGGCCCTTTTCCCACCCTAAGAGCCTGTGATTTCCTTTTCTCCAGCTTATAGGAGGTTTCTAGATTTCCCAGGACCTATTTTTAGCGAGAAAATGATGAGGCTTGGGAAGGTGGGGGTATTCAGGCGAGCTTTGTGAGGTCTCTGGGGCCCCCAGGCCTGCCTCTGTGGCCCCAGCATCATTCAGGTTTTCGCGCACAGGTCTGAACAGGGCCTCTGTTGCTATAAAAAGCAAACTAGCAAAACGAGAAGCCAGAAGAGCCAGTGCTGTGAGGCACTCCTCGTCTAACAGAGCGTTTGAATAGTTTGGCAAGAAGAAAACCCGCTGTGCCAGCATCATGGAGATGGCCTGCGGCTGGCTGTCTGACCAGAATCCCAGGACATCCATGCTCCAGGGCTGCTCCGCATCCCAGATGCCTCAGGCTTTCCCACCACTGGTGCAGCACCGCGTGGTCACCCTCTGTGCAGCCTCCCCGGATGCTGCCATGTCTGGAGAACGCTGAGGTCCTCGGGCATCCCAGAGCCATTTCGCACTGCCCTTGGCAGGCTGCGGAGGGCACACTCGCTGGGGTCGGAGCAACCCTTTGCCAGGTTTTGCTGGGCCCACCTTTTCATTTGACAGAGGCTCATAATGCCTCACTTCTACCTTTACAACCTTCTGCTTAAAAACAAGGGGTCTTGGGACTTGAACCCTGACCCCTCCATGTCTAACCATCCACAGCTGACTCCCTGCCATCAGCACAGCCTCCTCTGGTTTCCTCGCTGGAAACAAGGGTCTCCCAAAACCCGATCAGAGAATTTACCCAAGTACAACTCTAACAAGAGGGTCGGTCAGGTGCGCACTCCAGCGACTCTGAATCCCAGGCCTGCAGAGGACACGCCGCGTGTTAAGCAGTGACGGCAGCAGCCACCTGCAGAAGCTCCTACCTAGCAAGGTGGGCAGAGGCACTTAAGGAACTGCACAAGGGGGCATGTCTTCAGCAATTTTTTAAAGGACTTTTAACACCGTCACTTAAAAAAAAAGAAAAGAAAATAGATCAGATAGCCAAGAGAGGACCTGGCCTGCCTGGAGTTTGTTTCTCTGCTCGTTCATTTATTCATCAACGTTTAGTGAGCATCTGTCCAGTGCCAGGCACTGCAGGCCCTGGCGACACCAAGGCACTGGGCTGACCGGGCCCCCCCAGCAGGAAGTTTGCCTGTATTGAAAGAGACAGAAGTGACTTTGACTATCCATTATCCAGTGAGCCTGTCAGGGGCAGGAGCCAAATTCTGGGGGAGCAGCCATCAAAGGAACCCAGTGGGGGATCAGATGCGCTCTGCCCAAGGGAGGGACCCCTGAAGGGAGAGCTGAAGCATGTGGGGGTGGCCAGGTGTGGTTCAGACTGAGGAGTGGGGTGTTTGAGGCTGGAGGAAAGCCAGGAGGGCTCTTAGGTTACGCTGGTAACCACTGACTGATGTTTGCTATTTGTGAACAACTGTGTACACTTGTTAACAATGCAGGTTATGAAACAGAGTGTGTTGTTTGTCAGGAAAGAATGGCAAAATCTTGGCAAGAGGCCACAGATCAAAACTCTTGCTCAAAAGGAGGTGTTTGGAAATACCTGGCCTCACCTATCCAGAGGAATGGAGGCAGGGCCTGCGCTTCCTGGCCCATCTCCCTAGAAAGCCCTGCAGTCTTCCAAGAGAGGCAGGGAAGATAAGGAAGGGGGGCGCCTATGTAGGTGTTTTGAAAGCAGTTGGTAAGGTTTCCCTGCCCCCGAAATCTCCACACCTGGGTTCAGCTCACCTTCTAAGAGCCCAGATCAGAGGGGACATAACTGGGACAATCACAGCTGCCCAGAGCGGACCTTTAACACCACACCATGGTGCAGCACTCCACAGTTTGCAAAGCACCTATATATGCAACCCTGAAGGAGACAGGAATTACAGCCCCATTTTTCAGGCTGGGAAACTGAGGTTCACAAACAGAAGTGCCTTGGCCAAAGGCTCAGTGTCTAATGACAGAGGTGGAGCCAGCACCCACCTGTGCTGCCAGCAGGGAAAGAGGGAGCAAGTAGACCCTGCCAGGGAAGGCCAGTTTGGAGCAGGGGACACTGAGAGGGTCAGAGCCAGGGTTCCTGGGGTGAGGGAGGGCCCAGAGTCTGTAGAAAGCTTCTTGGACATTTGTAGCTCTTGATCGGATGTGACAGTGCTGGCCCCACTACACACCTACTGTGTGCCAGGCCCCAGTTAAAACAGGAAGTATCTTCCTGTTTACAAATGAAGAGAGCAAGGCTCACAGCAGGAAGAAACTCGTCCCATCACACAGCAAAGAGGAGGTCAGACGTGAACCTGGATCCATCCATCCAGACAGCAAAGGAGTTTAATGAACACACTGGGTGGAAGCTTCACATGTGGTGACTTCAGAGGAGGCCCATGAGCCAGGCCTGAGCTGAGGGGCCGTCAGGTGACTTCTATCTTCAGCCACCAGGGAGCGCCATTGGGCCATCCATGCATTGGTCCTGTGAAGCATGAACAGGGCTCCCCAGCATCTGGTTCATGAAGCCAGGTGAGTTGAGGCTCCATAGGCTAAGTTCACCAGGCCCAGGCTATTTATAGCAGGGCCATCTGGTGCAGCAGAAAGACGTGGTCCGACCTGCTTCAGATCCTGGCTCTGCCATTTGCTGGCTTGCTTTCTAAAACACCTCCGGACCCCATCTTCCTCGCCACAGCCACTGCGCCGAGTAGGGCCTCCACCTTGATTATTAGAAAGGAGTCCAGGAGTCTCCCTGCGCCCACCCCTACACCCTCTTATCCCCACTCCACAGGACAGCCGGGAAAACCTTTCCAAAGTGAGAATCTGTTCACACCAGTCCCCGCATCAGCCCTTCACTGGCTCCCCATTTCCCCTGGGAAAGGTCAGTCTCAATTATGACTTACAAGGCCCTCTGTGACCTGGCCACAGCACCCCCATTCCAGCTTCACCCAATGACCGGAACTCACCAATTCACCAAACTCCTTCCTGCCTCCTTATCTTTGCTCATGCTGTAGCCACAGCCCAGGACTCCCTCCCCAGTCCTCTTCTGTGCGCCCTCCCGTCCCCTAGAGGCCTCTTCGGGGAGGCCTTCCCTTGGCCCCTTCCCCACCCAGCCCCTAGCAGGGTTAGAGATCCTTCTTGAAGCTCTCAGAGCAACAGGACAGGGCTCATCACACAACAGAATCACCGTGTGCCTTGTGTCTACCTCCTATTCATCCCCTGCCACCAATTCAGGCTGCGCTCCCCAGACACCCCCAAAAGCCCTACAAAAAATAACAGACACTATTGACTGAGCACCTGTGTAGGTCTGCTGCCTGCCTGTGTCATCTTGTTTATCTTCACTACAGTGTGGGTAAAAGTGAGGCCTCACACCAGACCTGAGAAGCTCAGGGCTGGCCTGTAGTGTGGGCCTTACAAACTCAGAGACAGAAAGTAACCACATCAGATGGTCTGAACATAAAAATTCCTAACTAAAAGCACATAGGTAGTCACATCCTAAGCCTGTAGCTTCTGTGACAGAGATCGATCTCTACTTTAGGTGAGCCTGTCTATCGTCCATTTGCATCTCAAATAACACAGCTTTGGAATGTGAGAGTAATCTCCTTTTCCAGGACCCTCAGCAGACGACCACTGCAGAGCCCCTCATTGTTCTCTAATTCCCCATATACCATCTCTATGTGCTGTTAATGTTAATGACCCGGTATTGTGTACAACTACCCTGAAAAAGAAGTGTGTGTCTCTTCATTTTACTTTTTATCCAATTCCGGAGATTCCCCCTACTTTGCTTTCTATCTCCCCTCACCCTTAATCTACCACCAATGGATTTCGTGTAACCCTCCTCACACCTCCTCCTTTGCTTCTAATGGATAAAATAAGCTGCAAAACTTCCAGGCACTGGAGCATTTTCTCAATCTGTTGAGATTGTGCTTCCTGACAATTGTTGTCAGGTTAGCTCAAATAAAATCATAAAAATTTTCTACAGGTTTGGACATTTCTTTCGCCAACAATAGCTTTGTGGAATAAATATAGTTGTCCATGTTGTATGGGGGAGAAAAGTAAGGCTCAGCAACAACATCATTTGCTCAGCTGGGATTGGAATTCAGGGTTTCCAGCTTCAGAGCCAGGTGCCTCCCTTAAAAGAACTATATATAAGAGCCAAACCCATAGAACTCTCAAAAGAAAACATGCAGGTAAATCTTCATGACCTTGGATTTGGCAACATTTTTCTAGGTGTGATACCGAGAGTACAAACAACAAAAGAAAAGTAGGTAAGTAAGACTTCATCAGAATTTAGAACTTTTGTCCATCAGAAGAAGTGAAAAGGCAACGGCAGAATAGAAAAAAATATTTGCAGGTTATATATCCGATAAGGGATTAATATCCAGAATATATAAAAAATGTTACAAGTCGACAATACAAAGACAAAGAACCTAATTTAAAAATGGTGCCCTGGCTGGTGTGGCTCCGTGGACTGAACGCTGACCTGTAAACCAAAGGGTCACCAGTTCAATTCCCAGTTAGGGCACGTGCCTAGGTTGTGGGCTGGGTCCCCAATAGGGGATATGAAAAAGGCAACCACACACTGATGCCTTTGTCCCTCTTTTCTCCCTCCCTCCCTCTTGAAAAATAAATAAGTAAAATCTTCCGAGGATAAAGACATTTAAAAAATTTGAATACACATTTCTTCACAGAAGATATACAAACAGCCAGTAAACACATGAAAAGGTGTTTGATATCATTAGTCATTAGAGAAACACAAATCAAAACCACAGTGGGGTGCCACTGGACACCCACCAGCACGGCCAGAATAATTTTAAAAAGGAAACAGAAAATAAATGTTGGTGAGGGTGTGAAGAAATTAGAACCATCACACATTGTCAGTGAGAATGTAAAATGGCATAGCCACTTTGGAAAACTATTTAGCTGTTTCTTAAAAGGATAAACATAGAACAACTATGTGATCTAGCAATTCCACTCTTAAGTTCACACAAGAGAACTGAAAACCTAAGCTTCCACCGAAACTTGGGCAAAAAAGTGTTCCCCACAGCACTATTCCTAATAGCCAAAGAGTGGAAACAACCCAGATGTCCTTCAAGGGATGAATGGGGAAATAAAATGTGGTGTAACCATACAAAAGGATATTAATCAGCCATAAAAAGGAATGAGGTACTGGTACCAGCTACAACATGGATGAACCTTGGAAACTTATACTAAGTGAACGAAGCCAGTCACGGAAGACAACGTACTGTATCATTTTCTTCATGTGAAATATCCAGAATAGGGAAATGTGGGGATGGAAAGTAGCTTAGTGGTTCCCAGGGGCTGGAGCAAAGGAGCAGGAAATGGGAATGGCTGTTTTGTTTTTGTTCTTGTTTTTGTGGGGGATGATGAAAATGGTAATTAGATAAGGGTGATGGTTGCACGACCTTGTGAATATACTAAAATCACTGAGTTGTACACGTTAGGAATGGTGAATTTGTGTTATGTGAATTATATCACACTTACATATTTCTTAATTAAAAAAGGAAATGAAACTGCCCCAGAGTAAAATGTGGAATGCAGACTGTCCCTGGGAGGTGCTACCCAGAGCACCACTTGGACTCTGGGGAGGTGCCCCCGGCCCCCTGTCTGTCTTCCCTTTTTAGGCCACCCCTGCCTCACCTTACTGTGGTCCGAGCCCTCAACACACACACACACACACACACACACACACACACACACAGATGCACGCACGCGCGCGCGCTCTTCTTAGCAATGCTCACCCCTTTGGTGAGGCTCCCGTACCCCCTGGACCTTCTCTGTACTCCCCCAGCTGGCTCTGGGCGGCCCATCGAGGGGAGGCGGGCAGGAATGTGTCCGTTGAGTCCAGGGTGTGGCGTGGGCAGCCCTGTTACCACCCTGCAGTTGTTTGCTTATGTTGTGGTTGTCGCCATGACCTCCTGAGAGCTTGGCAAACTAGGAACTAAACACAATTCAGGGACTTACTTGAAGATCATGTGTCCTTTGGGTGGGGGTGGGGTGGGTTCTCTTTGCCAGGGACTTTGTTTCCGGGGAGAAAAAATAATTCTGCTGGCCTCAAGACATCCTGCAGCCCTAGGAACACACGATGATGATTTAGACCATTTATTGAACACTTACTATATTCCAGACACAATGTTAAGCCCTCTGAAGGAAGGCAAGCCTGGGCTACGGTTCCAGAATCAGGCAGGCTTGGGTTCCAATCCTGCTTCTCCATTTACTGACCTCAGGAAATTTCTTAATTCCTCGGACCACCCACTTCTTTGACTGTACAAATACCCCTACCTGTTTCTAAATGGTTTCATAAGGACGCCAGGCTCTCAGCACAGAGGAAATGCTCAAAAAACTGTGAGGGAAACTGTGAGGTCCTTGGGGCAGGGACCTAGTCCATCCTGTCTCCTGTCCTGCCCCCAGCACTCCCCTCCACACGGTTTTCGCTCTCCCGCGTCCACACCTTTGCCCGTGCCGTCCCCTCCGTGGGCGATGCCCTTTCCTCTACTCTGACCTCCACAGATCAGCATTGTCCCTTCTTTCAAGGTCTGGCTCAAATGCCACCTGCATCCCACAGGGTAACTTCTGTGCCCGGGTCCTCTCCCTGATTAGTGTGGAAGATCCAGGAGCCGAGACTGAGAAATAGTCTAACAGCGCAACAGCAGAGCAGATAATCACACGGGTTTAACTCTGGATAAGTTCATTAACTTCTCTAAACCTCCATTTGCTCATCTGTAAAGTGGGCTTAATAATGGCACCAACCCCTAGGGGTGCTCCGAGGTTTAAACGAAGTAATGTACTTACAGTGAGGCCTGGCATGTAATGAGCCTTCAGTAAATACAATAAACCTTTGCTGTACAATACGGTAGCCACAAACCATAAAAGGTGATTTAAAGTCAAATTAATCAAATTAAATTTCAATTCATTCAGAACTGGAGTTCCTTGGTTTCACTAACCATATTTCACACATGACTAATGGCTACCAAATTTGCCCAACAGGGCAGCCTTGATATACAACATTTCCATCATTGCAAAGTTCTAGTGGACGACAATGATGTGTGCACACAGCAGGTGCTCTGGGCCTATGTGTAGTCTGGGTCAGAAAGTGCACTTAGGGGTGTCTCTGAAAGCCCACAGCTCCTGGGAAGACCTGCAAACCCTCCTTCTGGCTCTCCCTGCCCAGCCTCTGATGTTCCCAGAAGTACCTGGGGCACCTCACGTGGAGGGATTAGTGCGAGAAAGGAGACTGGTGAGAAAGGGGCAGGATTAGGGGCTAATGAGAAGGCAGTGGAGGAACCCAATCTGTGCGTGCTGCCAGCCGGGCAGGAAGTGGGCACGGACAACGGCTGAGGGTTTGCAGAAAAAGTGTGGAATGTGAAACAGGGAGGAACTGGGGTGTGGAGAGTTATCTAACTGCTCCCGAGTGCGCATCAGGCCCCCCAGACAGATGGAGATGGCCAAAGTTGGCCCCTCCTTCTTCTTCTGGACCCAACTCTCTCAGGGCCCTAGAGCAAGGAAGGTGTTCAGCACTAAGTCACATTGGCAGGTGTAAAGAGGCCCAGAGACAGCCCAGAAGTGGGGGCCGAGGATACCCTAGGGATAGGGGACCTGGGAGAGCCCCTGGGCAGTGTGGCTCAGGCTAGCCCAGGGGTGGTTTCAGCCCCTGTGGCCCCCTCAAGGCCTGGAAGATGTGGCCACATGGACGCACTGTGGTCTCAAGCCGATGCATTGCTGATGTCTTTATAGGCAGTCGTGCATGATGGGGCTGATGCTGTCTTGGAGCTCCTGACAGCTGAGAGAACAGTCCCGTAGATGTGCATGACCCTTGACAGGCTATATGTCTCATCAGATCTCCCCTACAACCACATAAGGAAGACAGGGCAAGTATGGACCCACGCCCCCATTCTATAGATGAGCCAAGTGACACTCTGAGACATCATTTTAAAAGGGAGGTCTTACAGGCAAGCGGGAGCAGGGCCAGGCCTTGCTGTCACGTCTCACGGTAGACTATTGGGCAGCGTGACAGAAATCTCAGGACACGGGAACCTTCTGGGCTTTTCTCATCACCTATCATAGACGGTGGGTGCCCCTCACTGGTCAAGTGTTTGAAATACCAAGAAACACCTTCACTGTTGGAAGGCTATCAACATGCTCCACCTCTCCCTTGGGGCCCAGGGGATGCCGGACTCTGGACGAGACCTCCGCAATGGAAAGAGAGGGGTGTGGGGTGGAGGGTGCTCAGCCTTCCCCACATGGAAGGTGCAGGGCCAGTGCTGCACAATAAAATTGGAAAGCAGCATCGGCCTTTGGAGAAAACAAACCTTCTGCAATGACACTTGAATTCTGTTTTTCTGCTCCAGCCTGTCTCTTCTTAAATATGAATGCTGGTTGTGAAAGAACATGAGCCTCCTACCCAGACAAAGTGAATGAACTCTTTACTAAACAGACCAAGTCCCTGATTCCTACCTGTCAGAGCTGGGTGGGTGGTGTCTTTTGCCAAAGCCTATGTGTGAAGTCTGTTCTTTAGTGACATGGGGAAACTGAGCCTTGCAGAGAAAGGGTGCAGTTCCCACTCCCCCGAAATGTCCCCCTTCTCCAGGACAGTGGCCCCTGGAGGCCTGGGAACACTGATGGGAGTTCTATAGGCACCCAGCCTGGGTCCCATGCTGTGGGAGGCCAGCCTCATTCTCTTCCACCCTGCCCCGCCTAGCAGGGCACATTTTGCATGTCCTCAAGTGCCTGCCCGCCCTCTAGACCTGCCCCAGAGCCAAACACTGGACCTCACTTAATCCTGATTATGTAACGTGTCATTCAACAGCTGTCCGAGGAGGAGACACCTGGAGCCACACCCAGGAGTGGGGGCAAAAGACCTGGCTGGATCAGAGCCGCAGACCCAGCCTGGCCCCTGCCTGCAGTGGCCCCTACTCCTCCAGCCTCGCCCAGCACCATGAGCGGCCGAGTTGGAGACCTGAGCCCCAAGCAGGCAGAGACCCTTGCCAAGGTGAGAGCCCCTGTCCCTGGAGCCCCAGGGAAAGGGCTGAGGGGCACAGGACTGGTGGAGGCTGTCACCCTGCCTTACTCTGTTGGCTCAGCCTGTTCTTGACATTGTCTCTTTGCCATCACCTCTCCCAAGGTTAGGTCTCACAGTGCCCAGTGATATCCGGGGAAGAGGCTGAGGGAACAGCAGCACCTCCAGGTCAAGCCCGACACCTTCTCATTCAGGAGCCAGACCCAGAGAGCTTGACCTGAAAGCTGCCCCCTTCCCCACCCTCCCAGGCCCCTCCGCTCCCAGGTGGGAGCTGAAGGATGCCGGTGGTCTGTTCCTCTGTCTGTTCCCATCCCTCCTCAGGGCCCCGAGACATGACCCGTCTGTAAGCCAGCGACACAGAGCAGGGTGTGCCTTCCCCACGGTCAGTGAGGAAGAGGACACATGATCGTTAACCATGTTTTTTCTAGAAAATGGGATAAGAAAAAAAGAAGGTGGAAGTTTTGGTGGGCTAACACATAGGAAGGATGGAGGGCACAGCTGCCTGGCCTCACCCACAGCCTCGCTTTCCATGGTGTCAGTCACCTGCTGTCAGCCCCAGTCTGAAAACATGAAGTGAAAAATTTTAGAAAGAAACAATTCATAACTTTTAAATTTCACACTGTCCTAAGTAGCGTGATGAAATCTGCCTTCCCAGCCTGCCCCACCCAAGGCGAGAATCATTTCTTTGTCCAGCATATCCGCCTGTTTAGCCACTTAGGAGCCTTCTCTGTTATCAGACTGGTTAGCAGGCAAAGAGAAAGATCACATTCACAAAACTTTTATTATAGTATATTGTTATCATTGTTCTTTTTTATTATTAGTTATTGTTGTTAATCTCTTACTGTGTCTAATTTATAAATTAAACTTTATCATAGCTATGTATGTACAAGAAAAACATATACATATCGGGTTCAGTACTGTTCATGGTTTCAGGCATCCACTGGGGGGGCAGGAGTCTTAGAACATGTCCTCTGTGAAGAAGTGGGGGGTGACTGTATATCCATACTCCAACCCACTTACCCACCCACTTATTCTTTCTTCCCTCCATCCTCCCACACCCATCCATTTATCTATTCCTGCATCTATCTATTCACCTACCAAACTGTCCTTTCTTGTACTCACCCACCCATTTCTCCTTGTCTCCATCCACTCATTCATTTTTCTCCTTCCTTTTTTCTGCTCTCCTGCCCACTCATCCATCCATTCATTCTTCTTTCTATCCACTTACTCACCCACATACCCTTCCTTCCACCCTACCTTTGCACCCACCCACCCATCCAATGACCTATGTTTCCTGTTCACTCGCCTGCGCGCCCTTCCATCATCATGGTCCAGGTGCACGTGAAAGGGAAGGAGGGTGGAGGAAAACAATCGCCGAGTCTGGGGGCCAAGGCTCAGGGTGAAAACCACTTTAACCAGCGTCTTCCTTCCCAGTTCCGAGAAAATATCCAGGATGTGTTGCCTGCCCTGCCCAACCCTGATGACTATTTCCTTCTGCGCTGGCTCCGAGGTGAGGGCAGAGGTGGGAAAGCTCAAGATGAGGGAGCAGCGAGAGGGGTCGGGTCCCAGCTGCTCCAGACAATGATGCTTGGCTCTCAGGCTCCAACAACATCACCTTGTTCTACATGTTTGGTCCAGGAGAGGAGAGGGGACAGGAAAGAAAAGTCCCTCCCAGGCCCCTGGTGCCCTCCATAGCTCCCACTGCCCGGGACCAGGACAAGGCAACTGCAGCACAGTCTTTTCCTAACCTCACTCCTTCCTTCCCTCTTCCCACAGCTCGGAATTTTGACCTGCAGAAATCAGAGGCCATGCTCCGCAAGGTGAGACCTGTCCCCGCTGGAAATGTGGGGAGGGGTTTCATGGGGGGCAAAGCGGGCCCCCAGCCCCTGCGCCATCCCTTCCTCTGGGGTGCGGGAAGCCCAGTAGCGCCTTCCCACTCATCTTTCTCTAGTACATGGAGTTCCGAAAGACCATGGATATTGACCACATCTTGGACTGGCAGCCCCCAGAGGTGAGCGCCCCCCCCCACACACCCATCCTTTCCCAGACATACCACTAAGCAGCCTCTGGGTCACTGGGAATCATGCGTGAAGGGCGGACAGCCTGAGAAGACTGTGGAAGCCCCTGGGCCAGGAGGTACCTCTCCTGTAACAATTCTGAGTATTTCCTGGGGACTAACGGGGCCCAGGCCTGGATTAACACTTTACCTGCTTGAGCTCATTTAATCATCAAAACCCTGGCGGTGGACGCTATTGTCCGATTTTACAGATGAGGACACCGAGGCCCAGCAAAGATTAGGCAGCTTACCCTAAGGCCCACAGCCCTGAGGTGGGGCTGGGATTTGAGCTCAGGCCCATCTGTCCCTGAGCCCTACTCTTCACCACCACAGAGAGCCTGTGCCCTTGCGCCCTCACCCTCAGGGCCTTGCTCAAAGCATCCTGTCTGGGTGGGAAGGAAACTTACTCACCAAGGCATGGGGAGGGCGGTCCCACGAATGACATCCTAGGAAAGCAATGGTCAGTTTTATTTATGAAGTATGAGCACTAGGCCAGGCACTGTGCTTTGCTGACATGATCTTCGGGACTTACCCTACCAATCCCATGAGGGAGGAATTATTCCAACCATTTTACAGAACAGGAGGTGGGATAGGGCTCAGAGAGGTGGCATCACTTGTTCAGGATGCACAGCAGGGCAGCAGCAGTGTCTATATCTCTTTGAAAAGGGACATGGGAGGCGTCAGGGGCACAACTGAGGAGTCTGGAGACCTTGGGACAGGCCCTGCTGAGGCCTGGCTTTGCTGTGTACCGGCTGTGAGCAAGGCCTTCCCCTACAGGCCCTCAGTTTTCTCACCTGGACAACAGTGTTGCCCTCCACAGTGTGTGTAGGCTCGGGCACACAGGTCCGCCTGGGCTTAGGGTCTCTGGGGAGGTGCACAATGCCAAGATCCATGTATCTTTTCATGCCCAGGTGATCCAGAAGTACATGCCTGGGGGCCTCTGTGGCTACGACCGTGACGGCTGCCCCGTGTGGTACGACATCATCGGGCCTCTGGACCCCAAGGGCCTGCTCTTCTCTATCACCAAGCAAGACCTGCTTAAGACTAAGATGAGGGACTGCGAGCGCATCCTGCATGAGTGTGACCTGCAGACGGAACGGGTGAGGCCCAGGCTGAGTGGGGCAGGCATCTGGGGCAGGTGAGGCCGGCAGGTGAGGCCACCAGGTGACATGGTCCCCGGAGCAGCATTTGTTCCACTATTATGGTCAGATGACTCTGGAAACAAACACTACCTCTGCCACTTCTCAGCTGTGGAGACTTGAAAAGTCATGCCTCTGAGCCTGTTTTTTCACCTAAAAAATGAATAATGGTCAATGATGGTCACAAAGATTAAATGAGACAATGCAAGTACGCCGCCCAGCACGGAGGGCCTAACATATTTCCCAACCATGCTAATTACTGTTAGTCCTGCTGCGTCTTTGCCCCAGCTCTTCCTTCTGTCTGGAAAACCCTACCCCCAGCATGCACGCCTGCCTGCCACACTTCCTCTGGCTTTCTCCTATCTAAGCTTCAGGTCTCAAACGTAAACGCCACCTTCTCTCTGAGGTCCCCTTCTGGGTTAACGTGCGTTCCCACCGCTCCCATGCTGTCCCATGCCAGCACATCTCAGGACCATGGTGACCTGGTTGCTTGTCAGTCTCCCCCAGCCAAACTGTGAACTCTTTGAAGACAAGTAAGGTGGACTATTGAACATTCTGTGTTATGCTCTCAGTATCTGGCAAAAAATAGGTGCTTAATAAATATCAGTTGAACAAATGGAGGAATGAGTGAATGAATGAATGAATGAGTGGATAAATGGGTGAACGGATTGGGGAACTGATGGATAGATGGATGGATATATGTATTAGCTGTTTTGTTCATTCATTCCTCTGAGGGCAGAGTAGGGGGCTGGGAGAAACCCTGAGGTATCCTGTGCTAGGGTCTCCATGTCCCAAATTCTGAGTCTGACTCTGAACCTTGAAACTGGTCCTTGCTCTCTCATCCTTGCAGCTGGGGAAGAAGATTGATACCATTGTGATGATATTTGACTGTGAAGGCCTGGGATTGAAGCACTTCTGGAAACCACTGGTGGAAGTATACCAGGAGGTGAGGAGAAAGCCCCAGAGCACCACCTGTTGGCTTTAACAACCAGCTTGGCTTGCTGTGACCTGGCTGCTCACTCATAGCCAAGATTAGGTACAAGTTAGTAGACTTCCTGGGCCCATCATGTGCCTCATGACATTTTGATAATGTTTCCTAGACGACGCCACAGGCCTCAGGGACAACACTGCATTGAGATCGTAGGGGCCAGTATCCCCCAAAGCCTTCCCAGCCCTGTCACCCCTAGCTCTGTGACTTGGACAAATTATTGGGGATACTGATTGTCTGCATTTTAGAGGGATATAGGGATATTTCAGTGAGTTGTTATGTAAAGTGTATACTCAGTGCTTGCAAATAGCAAACATTTAATACAAAGTAGTCATTATTACTATGCTATCGTTACTATAATTTTTACTTTACAATGATTATTATGGTATGATTGCAATAATCTGAGGTGTAAAGTTCCCCTCTAGGGGCCAGTAGAGGTGATGGAAAGAGAAGAAACCCTCCACAGCTCTCTGAATGCTCCAGAAGGGAGATTGCAAAGGTGATGGGAGTAGAATAAGATGAGGTGTGGGTTCTGATGGGGTCTTTCTTGGTTCCACAGTTCTTTAGCCTCCTTGAAGAGAATTATCCAGAGACCCTAAAGTTCATGTTCATTGTGAAAGGTGTGTGGCAAGTGACTTTATTTATCTGTGCTTCTTTTTCCTCACCTGTATCCTGGGGGTGAAAATAGCATCTGCTTCCCTGGGTCGTAGCAAGACAGGTTGGTTGCTTGGCTGCATGCAAATCAGTCGGGGTGCCTGAAACACAGTGAGTGCTCCATAAATGGAAGCTTCTGTGGTTGGCCTTGCTGCAAAAGGAGGCAGCTCCGGCCCCAGCTCTTCCAGAAAACCCCCATCACTTTTCTGCCTCATTGATCTCTCCCTCCCCAAAATACCTCTGACACTGGTGACTGGTGCAGCCCAGTCTGACCTTTCTTGTCTGTTGCCTCCTGGGCTACCAGTTGTCTTGTGTATGTTCATCCTATTTTCCTTGCTGTGTTGTATACTCCTTGAAGATAAGGTCCTCTGATCCTCCATTTCTGTTGTATGTCTCACAGGCCTGGGGCCATATTGATGCTCAATGGGTATTTGGGTGGTTGTCATTTGAAGTGAGTAGATGGAAGGATGGGTGTATGTTTGATGGTTGGCTGATTAATTGGGTGGTTGATTGGTTGGTTGGATAGTTACTAGTTTGGTTGACTGATTGAGTGACTAGTTGGCATTTTGGTTGGTTGTGTGAATGGCAAGTTGGCAGATTGGTTAGTTGACTGGCTGGTTTGTTGTTTGGCTGAATCTTGGATGGTTGGCTGTTGGTTGTTTGAAAGGTTGACTGGCTGAAGAAGGCAGCTGGAGGGGCAGTTAACTAGTTAATTGGCTTATTGGTTTGCTGATTAGCTGATGTGTTAATTGGTTGTTTGACTGGTAGGTTGGCTAATTGGTGGGTAGGCGATTGGTGGGATGATTAGAAAGTGAATTGATTGGCAATTTGTTGGCTGGTTGGTTGGTTTACAGACTGGATGATTAAATGGTTGGTTAGTTATTGCTTGGTTAACAGGTTAACCAATCTGTTGGATGGTTTGTCAGGTGCAGGGCATTGGCATTTGCCAAGGTAATTCATGATTCCTCAATATTTTGGCCATGATTGTTATGGAGAGAAGAGCTCAATGGAATTATTTTCTCCCCATTATTTTTGCTTGTATCTTTCCAGCCACCAAACTGTTCCCTGTGGGCTACAACCTCATGAAGCCCTTCCTAAGTGAAGACACTCGCAGAAAAATTATAGTGTTGGGAAGTAAGTAGTTTTAGTTACACATCCTGAGCTCTGTGCATGAGCTTTGGACTGAGGCTGGCCCACCACCCATTCAGAGATCCACACATCACCTACAGTCAGAGCCTCCTCCTTCCCCAAACTTAGATGGGTCTTACACTGTAAAGTCTATCCAGTCGCCTCTAACTTATTCCCTATGTCTGATGACTGAGGCCTGCACACCTTCCTCCTTTTTGGTTTCAGTTGGTTGCTAGTCAACCTCTGGGCTATGGGACTCAGTTTCCTTTCAACACTCATCACTTCAGAGCTTCTAAAGACAATTGGGACTAAGGAGGATGAGGAAGAGGAACAGGAAAAGGAGGCATGATTCAGAGAAGGGACCCTCAACAAGGAGGGACTGGATAAGTAAATAATGAATGCATTTGATGAATTATTGGGCAGCCATAAAAATGATTCAATGTCATGAGAAATGTCATTCAGCTTTTTTAAAAAGTCGATTATAAAGAGGAGTGAATAGTATGATATTATTTTTGTAAAGACAAAATGTGTTTTTAGAAGCAAATGCCACAAAATGTTAATTTGTGGATGGCAAGAAATCAAGTAGCCTTTTATTTTATTTTTTTCTGCATTTTCTAAATTTTTATAATAGCATGTATTACTTTTATGAGTAGAAAAATTGTTGTTGTTTTAAATGATAGGGAAAGAGAAAGAAATAGAGAAGAGAAATAGTTTTTAAACTCAAATCCAATGACCCTGAACTTGGAGGACAACTTCTTACAAGCAGAATTGTTGTATCATCAAATCAGGAGATCTGAGGACCTAGGGTGAGGAAGGGGAATCTTACAAACCCCTGTTTTCTCTCCCTTCCTGTTACCTGGGTCTCTGCCTCTGCCCAGTTCCACTCAGACAGGGTGCTAGTGGATCACAAGGTAGCCCCCTAAATTCAAGAGTAGTAGGGGTAACTAACTACCATACTCCAGGCCCAAGTCTAGGCCTCTGCCTCATTTGGTGGCACACAGGGCTCTGTGCTTTTGGCCCTAGTATGCCACGTGTTGTAGTTTTTGCCCTCATTCCACTGGTAGCAAAGAAACTCCCATGCCATGGTTGGGTCAGGGAGATAGTCTGGACTGGTCACAGGGCTGGTGCCATGGTGACATCTCAGGACCCAGAATTCTCACAGCTTTGCATAGGGCACAAAGAACAGTAATGGGCATTATGGTTGTGGTGATTAAGCAGCGGGGTGGGGAGTTATTCTAGAGATACAAGGCTGTCTGTCCCCCACCAAGATGTCTGACTTGTGTATTCCACTGACACACTGTGCAACTCCGAGGTCCTTGACCTCACTGGGCTTTACAGTCTTAAGACAATTAGACAATTCATCTTCACTGCTCATGACCGAGAGAACCTCAAAAATGTGCAAACTCATCAGCCAGGGGGAAAAATGTTTCCATAGCAGCATGGCCCTGGAAGATACTTGCTGCAGCCTAAGGCCTGGGAGACTGGAGACTTGGCCCAGGCAGCCTACTTTCTATATGGTTTCTCCCCAAGCTCAGGTCCTCCCACTGGGGATGGGGCTGCTGATGGGTTCCCTTCGTGCCTGATAACTGCCCTTCAACCACTCTGCCCCCAGACAACTGGAAAGAAGGTTTGCTGAAACACATCAGTCCTGAGGAACTGCCTGCCCAGTTTGGGGGGACCATGACCGACCCAGATGGGAACCCCAAATGTTTAACTAAGGTACAAAGAGCCCCAGGACAGGGACGGGGAGAGGAACAGAGCTGGGTTCCTTTCTTAGTCATTCACTCTTGCCACAAATGTTTATGGAGAGACCCCTGTGAGCAAGGTATGGAGCTAAATAGCCCCAGCTCTGCCCTCATGGGGTTCTCAGCAGCTGTGCAGGCAAACAAGAAATAAGGAAATGTTGGCTCAGAGGAATGAACTGGAAAAGGAAGTTTGTAGAGAAGGCCCTGACCTAGCCTGGGGGGTCAGGGGTGGGGTGGGGTAGGGTCAGGGAGCACAGGAGGAGCAGGATACTCCAGGAAATGGTGAGAGCATCTCAGGCAGGTGGAACGGCATGAACGATGCAATAGCGGTAAGAGGGCTGCATGCCCATCCCATCCCATGTCTGCAGATCAACTATGGTGGGGAGATCCCCAAGTCCATGTACGTGCGGGACCAGGTGAAGACTCAGTACGAGCACTCAGTGCAGATCAGCCGCGGCTCCTCACACCAAGTGGAGTACGAGATCTTGTTCCCGGGCTGTGTCCTCAGGTAGGGACAGGCCACTGACCCACCCCTGGCTGGGTACTAGCCCCTCAGGGACCCATCAGGCAGAGCAGTAACCGGTGCCTCTCCTCCCACCCACACATAGGTGGCAGTTCTCATCCGATGGTGCAGACATCGGCTTTGGGGTTTTCCTGAAGACCAAGATGGGGGAGCGGCAGCGAGCAGGGGACATGACAGAGGTGCTGCCCAGCCAGCGCTACAATGCCCACCTGGTGCCCGAGGACGGGACCCTCACTTGCTCGGAAGCTGGTGTCTGTAAGTCTGCCCCAGCTGGGACCCAAAGCTGAAGTCACCTGTCCTGCAGTTTAGAGGGGCAGTGACTACCCCTACCCAGGTACACACAGCCTAGTTTAGTGCCAGTCATCCAAAAGCTGCTTGTTTGGTCCACACCCACGAGCACTACTGTGTACCAAGAGCCAGAGACCCGCAAGCCATGAAGGGGTTGAGAGCCCTTGGATCACAGGACACAGGCAAGGGATGGTAGGGCATGTGCAACTCTCCCCGGAGGGAACTGGCGCTCTGAGAAGTAAATCAGCTTGTTCAGAGCCACACCTCGAATGCGGGGCCAGCCTCATGGTAGCTATGTGATCTTGAGCAAAAGTCTTTGCAATCTGGACCCTTGGTTTGCTCACCTGTGAAGCAGAGGTTGTAACTTCTGCTTTGGGGAGGCAGAGGACATGTAAACAGGCCTGGCCCAGCACCCCATTTCATCTAAGAGGGCCGGGAGGCCTCTGACATTCCCAGATTCCATGCCCCCCACACCCCCGTACACTTCTGTCACGCAAGTGTCCAGGTGTGAAGACAATAGGTTGCAGTAGCCATTGTTCACATTGCCAGTTTATGCAACTAAAGCCATCTGGGCATGTACCAGGAGCTCAGTGTCTGTTTACAGGCCCTGCTCCGGTGGCAGTTCCCATGGGGAAGGAAACAGTAGTGGTGGGAACTTGGCTCAGCTTGGCAAACCCAGCAAGTGGCAACACAGCCTGTCCTCAAGTACGAGGCAGGGACACAGGGAATGTAAAGCCACGCCCAGCTACCTGTGTGTCCATCTGTCCCTCCAGATGTCCTGCGTTTCGACAACACCTATAGCTTTGTCCACACCAAGAAGGTCAGCTTCACAGTGGAGGTACTGCTCCCGGACGAGGGCATGCAGAAATACGAAGAGGAGCTCACCCCTATCTAGGCAGCGGCCGCACTTCTCAGAGACCCCTGACCTTCTGCTTTCTCTCTATATAGTTTACCCCCCTACCAGAAGCTGATCATTAGTTCTCCTGAGTTGGACATTAATGAGTAGTAGAGAAGGAGCTGCTTTGGGGAAGACTCATATGCTGTGGTTAGATCAGGAAACGTACAACAGGCACAGCCTCAGGGGGTGCCAATGTTGCAGAAGAGGAAAAAGTAAGTGTAAAAAAAAAGAAGTAGATATCACTAAAGCCCAAGAAATAGTAAAATAAATCTCCTACCCTCTGCCTTCACTTCTCCTGAGGCCCTTGAATTCCTTCCCTAAGAACTACGAGCAATTTGGGTTGGAGATGTATCTATTTTTTTTTTACATTTACTCCTTATACAGTTGATTTACATAAATAGTGGAAGTTAAAAAAAAAAGGTAGGGCTTCATACTGTATCCTTGTGAAGTTGAATGGAGGTAGGGAGCAGCTGATTCATGGATGTGCATGAGAGGAAGGAGCCTACCCTGGGCAGATTTCAGCACCTTGGACAGGAATAGAGTCGTGGAAGGGATGAACTCTCCTGGAGAGACACAGGCAATGAGCCCCTTGATTTCTGGCAGTGGCTGCCCCCTCAGGTAGGTATGAGACATTTTCATTAAGGCCCTATCTGAGTCAGGGTGCACAGCTTCCCCCACCCATTACTCCCACTCTCCTTTCTTTTTTTTGGAACTCACTGTTTATGTTTTAAGTAATTAAAGAAACTTTTCTGGAAGCAAAGGAAGTCATATCTGGCTCTAGCAGCTGCCTGGTGATAATAATAAAAAAGTTACAGCTCTCATCAGTTAGTGTACTCTGTGTGCCACACACGCTGCCAAGTGCTTTATGAGTTTAGCTCATTTACTCTCATGACTCACTGGAGGCTGTGCATCGTGGCTACCTTATGGATAAGGGAACTGAGGCTCAGAGAGGTGAAGTCACGCACCCAACATCACAAAGCTTTTAGGTAGAAGATCCAAAACCCAAAGTTCTGTGTGTGTGTGTGTGTGTGTGTGTGTGTTTTCTTTACTCAAAAGACATTGGCCTTAATTGCTCCATGATAGCACCTCCCTTAGGCCCTACTTTTATAAAGAAAGAGAAGAGGGATGACTTGTTTGTCCTAGATCTTCCGGTAGAAATGTCCTGGATGTCACCCTCTCCAATTCCAGTTTGTGGGCAGAGAGGGTGTTGTGCCCACTGGACAGCTGGAGCCAGGGAGACACACAATGCTGAAGCCACTTGTACAAGAAACTCACAGAAGAGTAGGCAGGGCTTGTGCTTCGAAGCCCAGCATCCTGCCCCTCCTCACATGGCCTCAGGAAAGCGCAATCCGTTGACACCCACCTGAACTCTGAGTGACTGGGAGAGACACCAGGGCTTCAGGGCTTTCTTGCTGCAAGTCAGGGACACAGAGATGCTGGCTTGAGCCCCAGGTCCTGACACAACTCTTACCAGGAGGAGCGAATTACCCAATGTGGGTAGGTGGGAACCAAAGGGCATGGGTGGAGCCACCAGAGGCTCCTTGGGAAGAGCTGAAGGCCAGGCCTGCTGGGGTGAGTGAGCCCTGACTCACCCTACAGTGTGAGGCTTGACTCTGAGACTGATCAAGCGAGCACCGGGCAGCAGCGAGAACTTCCCATCTGCTCCGATGGGCACAGGATCTTATCTCTATTGTGTAGATGGGAAGCAGCGCCCAAAAGGTCTTGGCTTTGTTTCTTTCAGCCAGTTGGTGGCAGAAATAGGACTGAGCTAAAGCGGCCATCCCCCTACCATTAATTCATGTTACTGTCGCAGGACAAGACCATCGACTCTCTGAGGTGGGGTGTTGGGAGGAGAAGAAAAAGAAGGGAGTATTATCAAATTCAGAAGAAGAAAAAAATGGCCTGGGATATGGCCTGGTAGGTCACAGCCATAATCCCGTGTATTCCCGAATAGTCCTAGAAGTATTTCTTTCACTCATTTTACAGATGGGATGATGGACGCTCAGAGAGGTGGTTGAACTTCAATTCTCTTAAGCTGGCCTCATCTACCACTAGGGGTGGAAGGCTGAGGCCAGGAACGGGATGGTGCACATGGCTCACATTCTTCCCTCTTTCTTGGGCAATCTTGGGGGTCCACACTCCATCACTCTCCATACACACCAGCCCAAGACTCACCACTCAGTACCTGGAGGGCTCCTTGGAGGGGTCCTTCAGAGGGCCAGGCAGGGTCTGTGATGGTCCGGCTGCAACAGAGCTGCTCACCTCCCACTTGAGGAGAAGCTTGGGCTGGGTGGCTGCAGAGGAAGAGGCGCCACAGGTCAGGGGTCCAGTGGGTCCCCACAGCCAGATTGGAGGGCAAGCCCTGGGCACGTTCTCCTGGGGAAGGTAATGGGAGTGGGAGGGCTGTTCAGATAAGCTTGACCAGCACTGAGCATCACCGGAACTGCCACTGGGAGACGACCGCCCCTATTCTACAGATATGAAAACTGAGGCTGGGGAGTCTTGCTACTATCTGTCCATGGCTGCATGCAGCTATCAGATTCAAACTCCCAAGCAAGGGCTCTTCCGGAAATATTTAAAGATTGGAATTTGTATATGGCAGATGGTAGCAAATAGTATTAAAATGATGGCTGATTTTACCTCTACCCTCTTCCGACCTGAGTGAGCAGCAAGTGGCCTGTGTGTAAGCAGCCTTACCCTGCATGGTCCCCACCTGATTCTTTTTACCATTGACCTCTTGACTGCCTAACCACACTGCTTCTCAGAAGGGCTATCTTGGCCCAGTGGGCCTAGGGCTGAACTGTTTTAAAAGAAGAAGAATTTAAGGTATTTCCTGAGTGTTTGCTGAGCATCTACTGCATGAGAGTTTCTGCCCTACAGACCAGGGGTGCAAGGTGGAGGTGGGCTCCTGCCCCCAAGTTTGGAGGGCACTTGGCAGAGCTACCCATAGGCCATCGGAAAGAGAGTCCTCTCCTCCCAGGTCCCCCAAGATCCCAAGGCCAGCTCCTGCAGCAGCCTACGCCAGGTGGGGTGAGTGATCCTCCAGGGGGCTCACCAGGTGCACAGTTGGCAGGAGGAGGCTCAGCTCAGGGGCAGGGAGGGATGGAGGATGGTCCCCACTCACCATCCTTGCCTCCAAGGGAGCCCCACTGCCAAGACTTTACCTACCATCAAGAGCAGAGCAACCCATGAAAGCCCCCATAGGAAAAGAAATATTGCCTGCCCCCACAGGCCTCCTTAAATTGGCCCAGAGGAGGCTGGGGAAGAAATAATCTCACCTGGAGCCCACAGGTGAGTCTAGGGCATGGCTGAGCTGGGCCCAGGCCACACACTTCCCCATTCCCCACCTGTGCCCCCAACCTGCCTGCAACGCCTTCTGACTACGCAAAAGCCTCCCAAGTCCTCCTCACTCACATAGGATTTAATATGGAGAGTAACGGTTGAGGCCAATGGAAGGCTCACTGCACAGGGGACCTAATTTTTTCATCTGTAGGATGATAATGGTGGCATTATCATAGGTTCTTATGGAGGTTGCATAACATCATGCTTATCAAAGTGCCTGGCACAGAGTAAGAGCTCCATGCGTGTGTTCTGTGGGTGTCATTTCATAACTCTTGTCCCTGGGGAGGGAGGAGCATAGTGGGGGAGGGTGCTGTACAGTAAGACAGTTCTGTCTAGCAGAGGATGTCGCAAAGGGCTCACGGAGCAGGCACTATGAGAGCTGACCTTGAAGGTTGCGAACAGAGGGAAATGGGTGTGGAGAGGGCGTTCCTGGCAGATGGCATGGCCTAAGCAAAGGCACAGAGGCAGGATGTGCAGGGCACATCCAGGGAATGGTGAGGGGTCAGTGGAGGTGTAAACGTAGGTGCAGGGAGGTGTTGTGGTAAGAGCTGAGCCTGCAAGGCCTGGAGGCCGTGGATGCCAGGCCGAGATGTTCAGATGGGATCCTGGGAGCTGTCAGGAGTCATGGAAGGCATCAGAACACTTGGGGGATATTCAGCCACCAGCATGATCAGACTTGAAGAATGTTCGTTTGTGCATTGGGCATTGAAGGAGATCCCAAAATTTTAGTTTATACAAATAAGACCATGATGATCGCCCTCAGGTGCACACCTCATAATCATCCAATTATTTCCTCTGAATAAGTTCTTCGAGGTGACATCCCTGAATCATGTAATTGGCATACTTTATATCTGGGTTTGCCATCAGAGGGAACAATTCTATCATTCACCCTTGACGGGATATCTCTTGCCACATTCAGCATAGCCAATGTTTGTGGAGCTCGCTCTATGAATCCCCTGCTCTGGCTGAATGCCTTGGGAGCTGCTACTCCTGTAACCCTCACAGGAGGTTCAGGAGGCCAGTACAAAGAATTGTACATTCTCTGTACACAGAGGAAACCAAGGCTCAGGGAGACCGGGCAACTTGTCCGTGCTCACACAGCCTGTGGGTAGGCTCTGTCCCTGACTGTGCAGAGAGCTGTGGGCGGAAGGCAGAAGTCAGTGCTGGGGAGAACGGGTGCTGGGCTGGAGGGAAGTTGAGGTGAGATGGCAGGAAGGTCAAGGGACATGGGGTGTTTTGGGTGAGTTTGGGCCAGTGACTTCACCTCCAGGAAATATGGCCCTACCCATGATGTGGGTGCAAGGAATAAATAAGCCACATCACAGGAAGCACTTAGCACAGGACCTGGCACGTGTTAGGAGCAGTTCACTGATACCGACCTCACTAACCCAAGGGGCGGTTTGAACCAGTCGACGTCAGCACGTTGGGAGGTGCTGCCTCCTTGTGGTGGCGCTGAGCATTGTGTGAAAGTGGCCGCTATGGGATCTCAGCTTGTTGTAACAGAAACCTGGGGGTGGGAAAAAGACCCCTCCCTGCTTCCTAGCAGGGATCTGCTGCATCCTCCCAGGCCACGCAGCAAGTGATGGACTGGAGGGACCCCAGAGGGGGCTTCCAAGCCAGCCCTAGAGATCAGAGGCTAACTTGAGGGAGTGAACTGAGGAAGGAGTGGGCTGTTGGGTGCACCTGCAGAGAAGGGCTGGGGGAAGACTGAAAGGGGGTGTCCTAACTGGAGGGAACAGTGTATGAGAAAGCCCAGTCAAGAGAATGGTCAGATCCAAGGAACCAAAAGGACAGAATAACTGAAATAAAAACTGGGGATGGGGGGCAAGGGTGGGGTTGTCCAGATCATGAAGGGCTCTGCGAGCCACCGCGAGGAGTCCGGACTCGATTCTGATCATTTTTAGAAGTCGTTTGTCAGATAAAGAAGCTTGGAGTGGGGCAAGCCAGAGGCTGCTACCCTCATCCAGGCCTGGAGGGGACAGATAGGAGATGTGGTGGCAGAGAATTTGGGGACAGAAGCTTCTGGAGAGGGAGAAACCAGGAAAGAGAGACAGGGGCCTGAGCCCAAATATCGGGTGCTGGGGTAGCAGCCATGGGTGGGAGGAAACCTGGAGCAAGGAAGCCAGACAAGCAGGGACAGTAGACCAGGGCTGAGTCTTACCTGTGACCCTATGGGCTGTGAAGCCTCTGCCATGTCACTTGCCCTCTCTGATCCTTAGAATATGGGTCTGGAAAGGGTGATGGTGCTGCTGATGACTGCCTGGGGTAGCAGGAGGGCTGGAGCAGTGGTGTCCTGGTAAATGACCGCTGGCTCCCTGGGGCAGGGGGCCCCTGATTTGTTGATCTCCACGGTCCAAATACTCCCATCATGGCCTGTTTCAGCTACCCAAGTGAA